TTTCTTCAGCTTAAGCGTCAGCTTTTTGTTCCAATGAAAGGTGTCATGGCTTTGTGTTTCTGTGGACCTTTTTATGTATGAAGACTGAATTGTATTAAAATTCAAGTGGCAAAGTAAATGTGGGATAAAAAATTAACTTTTGTGTAAGCCAGTGTTGTTCATACTACAGTGTTACAGCTATAACATTTAGGTTATATTTAACAGCAAGACATGTCGAAATTAAATTAGAATTCACAAACACTTATAGTGGCATCAAAGTAGACCCTTGTCTTATCCTATATTTACAACAGCTCAGTTCTCAATAAGCTTGAACTCTTTAGTAACCTTTTCTCTTCAGTGTATAATTTTCCCTTTCAAATAACTACTTCATTAACCCAAGTTATCCTAGTTTTTTAAATGTATTTCAGATAGTGACACTGAAGCTGTGCAGAGGTTACATCCTCCTCATTTTTTAGTCTTCACTGAATCTTGCCCTCCTCTGGATTTTGGATATCTTTAGCTTAGTGTGTATTGTACCTCTAAACAAAAGATTCCAGATGATGATATTTTCCCATCTATTTCTAAACAGTGTGAGGTATTGATATTGTCATTGAGTTTAAAAAATGTTTTTGATTTAAAGGAGAGATAACTAGGAGGTGTCTGTGCTGCTTCCCGTTGAACACAGTAATTTCTAGTATTACCTATCTCAGAATGAAAGATTTGTTGTAATATTAAATGTTTTCATTACCTTGGAAGAGGATGAGTTATTTATTTGCCTGTATTTATAGTGATGTTTCATATTAGGTTTATCATATAACAAACCATGTTTGTCAATAATTTTTGTGATCTGTTTTATGTATTTTTCTTCATAGGTCTTAAGTTTTAAAAAAGCTCACTGAGGCTTTTTATATCTCATTAAATTTTGTTGAATTACAGGTTCAGATTTCCTATTCATACACCAAATTAACCTCAGCAGTGTCAGGCTAGTTTACCATAGAATCCCCAAAAATAATTTTGCCATTGAAAGGGTGACCAGTGTTTCATTATAATACTATGGAAAATATATACAGTATATATATCCCATAGAGGCTTTTGAAAGGTAGCTGTGTTTTTAATTGTGCATTTCGTTGCGTAATTGTCTGCATTGGTACTTCTCATGATAAGGCCATCTGTCAGATGTGTAGGTTTTCAGTGGCTATTGAAGAGATAGATTTGTGGATCCCAACTAGGACATTATTGGTAATTATCTGTCTCACAGTTGATTGGTTTATGGTCTAGTTAATGTATGGAAAATATACAAATTCATTTGTTGATATTTTAAGTGTTTTTTTTTTCATTTCAATACCCAAATAAATGGATCCTTTAATGTAGAATCACTAATAAATATTTTCAATTGCTGCTACGCTAGTGTAAATTAACACATGTAAGTAATTCATTATTGCAAAATTGACGATCTTATCAGTGAAATATGTTATCTGATTAAAATTTTGGTGAATTGTTGTAGGTTTTAATTAATCCTGCATTCAAACCAAATGGAACTGGAAAAGAATGATACTGAAAGAGTTATTTAAATGAAGATTTCTTAATCAAACTTTACGCCTAATAATTCTAATTTGTTAAATGGGACATGCGGATTAATTTGACCAAAGCGACAAGGTGTATATGTCAATCGTCCTTAACACTTTTTAAAATTTCACTTTGTTTTACAAGTACCTACTTCTGGATATATTATTTATAAATACATAGCTTTAATATTAAAGCTGAATAGCAGCTGCACCAGTATGCAATAACTATCAGTAAGCTAGTAGAGATTTTAACATTAATATTCTGCTCACAGATTTGTGCAGTATAGCTCCGTTCGGTAATTAATTGTGAAGGTGTGAATGCAGGAAAACGTGAGCCTCAGTCAGTGCAGAGGCAGGGTCCACCAGAGCATCATGGGAGACGATGTCAGGTATAATTCTCCTTCCAGATGGCACCCCTACAGGTGAGGCAGCAGCCTGTGAAATTACATTCTAAATTACACTGCAGATGAGCACCGCACACAAGCAGCACAGAGACGATTGTTCTGATATTGGTTATAAATGGTATGGTTCAGGACCAAGGACAGCACTAAAGAACTACAGTGCAGGGAAGATGGAGCAGATGAGGTTACAACTGGGTGAGGGGGACTAGTTTTAGAGTGAAAGGTCAGGCAAAGGACACAGATAATTGGAAAGCGTAAATGGGACCATAAATTTATTTTTTTTTTGCTTTTGTAAGTGGGCACCTGGATTTGTCTTTATATCTTAAAACAACTGTTTGCAGCAGTGGTTTATCCAGTTACCTGACGCTTATCGCAATTAGCTCAAAATTTCATTTCAGTGCGAATGATGATGCTTTGGAAATAATGTAGTAAAACCTACCACAGTCTTTTTGTAAACCCTTTATTTTTTAATTAGTTTACTTAGTGTTATCTTTCTGGAATATTTATTTGTATGTGTTTCAGCTAGTGGTTGTCTTTCTGAAGTGCATGTTCAATATGGTGAAAGTCTTTTGCTTGTCATGTGTACCTAACGATGGTCCTGCTTAAACCAAACTACAGAATCTCTTCAGTAAACTCTAAAATTGACTTTTCTGTAATTATGCTTAAGTTAAGAATAGCTCAGCACTATTCTAACATGTATTTTCCAAATGATTTTCAATCAGTGTGGTTTACACAGTAAATTGATTTATTGTGGTATTCTGTGTGGGATTACAGCACTTTTAAAAGTACTTTTGGAATCTTTTACATTTTAATTAAGAAGGGATACGGTGCTATGAAATGACAAGGTCTTGAAAAAGACCTGTTAAGGTCATTAAATTTTACCCCTGTCTATAGCTGTGGTTTTAAGCCTGCATTAAAGGCACAGTACCCCATGTCTGTGTAAAGAATATACAGAGACTCCTGAATTAAACCAACAGGCTGTGGACAAAAGCTCAACCTTCGTGTTGGGAAGAATTAATACTGGGGGTCATGTTGTCTGCTTGTGCAGAACAGGAGGTCACCTGGGGGTCAAAGCAGACGTAGTAGATCTTGAGCCCAGGCACTAGTGGAGACAGATCGTTTGCGATGGAGTCAGCAGAAATACTGCTCTTGTGATTCTAGGGAAATATGAGGAAAGTCACTTCCACATCTCTCTCATGCTAATTGCTGTAATTAAAAAAAAATACAATGCTAGGGTTGCATCACAATATTTTTCATGATTAATTATTGTGGGGTGGAGAACTGATATCTTAGTGACAGAAGTTGACACCTCTCTTAAAATAGGATTCTGTTTATATTTTGTTCTCAAATCTCTTATAACTGTGGGTCTCCTTTTACTTTAGACATTCCAAACCTTGCTAGTAAATTTTTAGACTGAAGCTTTGTGTAATTTCTCCAAATGTGCTTCGAATGATTTGTTGGCTCAAAAACAGAATTATTATTATTGTTATTGATAGTTACCATCTTTATCTATCATTCTGTAGTTGTAGTAGTGTTGTGTCTAGATTGTGAAGACTGTCAAATTGTATTCCTCTGGAAGCTAGAATACTAAAACTGATGAAAACAAATTCCATCATAATTCTATCCGCACACAGTCATTCTTATCTATAGAATGTTTTTTCTCCATTTTAACACCACTCTAGACTCCAGACCTGGTGGAATACTGAAAGAGAATTATAACTTACATTGTATTCACCTACATTCCTAATGAATCTGAATATTTGAGGCTGTTATCTGTCCTTAAGAAAAGCACACAAAAGTGCCACATTGTCCAGCCTCTGCAGTAAGTACCCAGTTAGAATAATGTTACAGTTATGAATATAACAAACCTGGATCAAGATATAGTATTGTGGTGTATCTTGTCTGCGACAGCTTAAATATTGTGATGCTTTTTAAGTGTTGTGCTAACCATATATGCATTTTATTATAGCTTGCAGTTTGTGACAGCAGTGCTGTAGGCTTGTATGTGCTAATGTGCTTGTTTTAATATATGTAATCTCTCTCTAAAGGATTATGCCACAATGTTCTTGTATTATGCTTCCAAATGACACTTTCTTTCACTACTCTGTTAATAAGAGTTGTTTAGGTTATTTAGTTTTGTAAAGAGAAAGTCAAAGCCTTTCTGTTGCCAACGAGGGATTTTCTGTGTGAACAGATACGTGCTTTCATGGGTATGCTCCAGAAAAAAAAGAAATCCCTCTATTGATTTCTTGTAAGAAGCCATGTGGCTCACAGCAAATTTTCATAACCAGTTTTAAATCCTGTAAGTTATTAATCTATTTGCATACTGTACATGCGGCAAATATGATTTATTAGATGAGAGATTAATTTAGCTGGTGTAATATAATTTTTATATGAATGCAGTGCGTTCTTTTACATGTTGTAGGCTATTACCATATACAGATGGTGTATGCTAATTGGTGCACATCTTTAATGCTGTTTCCTTTATTCTCCTTTTCATTTCATATATTTGTGTAATAGTACTTAAACCATAAAACACGTACTTTTCCCCAAAACAGTATCACAGTTCTTCTGCCTGGAGAAGAGAAGAGACAGGATGGGATTCCCTTCCCTCCTTTTCTACAGGGGGGCGGTTTAGTATTCTCTGGAGGATCACCTTTTATAGGCTAATTCAACATCCATGATTGTTTAAAACAGGCCTCCTGGGACCAGAGCCTGTCAGTTAGCACTTTGCAGTGGCATGTTTCAGAGCAGGAGCTCCAGGATACATTCACATGATCTCTTGGATAATAAAATACACCCAAACTTAACCTCAAGAAGATTCTACTTACCCTGCAATTTTTCTGTTCTTGAATTGTGTGCACATAAAACTGAATTTTATAGAATACTGAAAAATCGGCTGTAGCTGGTCACCAATATGTTTCAAAAATGAAAAAGAGCTGTCCATAAGTACATGAGATGATGCAAAGAATGTAAAGTTGATTTGGAGTGTTTTGCTCTTAGTATGTTTTATTATATTACAAAGCTCAAAAACCTCTTTGTTTTTTCCTCTTAGGGTTATTTTCTTCTTTTCGAATCCATGCTGGACTCTGTTCTGTATGCAAGAGACAAATACCTGGCTGATGAGGGATCAGGTTTGTAATAATGTTGAAATATGTTGCGTTTGCACAATCCTGTTGTTGTACGAAGAGCTTATGAATTTTCAGCAGCACTGATGAGCTATGCTTGACTGACGTAGTTCCCGACACAGATGAAAAATAGTGCCATTATGCGATCCTTCCAGGCATTTGTTTATTGTATTAGAATTCAGTAATATTAATGCCCTCACTATCATTTGGACCCCTAACGCTATTGAAATTTTCTGTTATTATAATATTGCTGACAAATATTATATTGTGAATGAACCGAATTATTTGTAAAACCCTTGATACCGCCCAGTTAGCAAAGTGCCTGATGCGTGAGCTTCTGGGCGGAGCAAAACTGAACTTTCATTAGGTGGAGACTTCGTAGCTCGGTACGTTTGGTGTCCTTCTCCACTGCTGCACAGCAGCCGTTTGTAAAGCAGGGCATCACTCAGCTCGTTGGGCTGACCAACACAAGCAGGGCCGTTGCATTGTTCCGATGCATAAATGTTTGCCTGTCGTTGTCTTTGCAAAGGTCCAGTGACCAGTGAGTAAACTGCCCAGCAGAGGTCTTCTGCTAAACTTGTCTTGCATTTCAAGAACTGGACCTGTAGCACAGAAATGATAAAACACTGAAAATTGTTGGTGATCTAAATACTTTTACAAGAAATAGGAAAAAGGAGTCAAGTATAAGATAATATAAATGCTGTCTTCATCTAGGTAAGCCCAATGAACAGCTACAGTGGTAGTGTAGAAATATAGTACAAATGTACACATACTTTCTAAAGCTTTTGTGATTTTTAATACTTCAGTGGATTATTCTTCATGATTTTACATCTCTTTAAGTTTTATTTCAATTTCCGGTATGTACATACTTCACAATGTTCAGGGGTTATTCTGAGGTAGTTTTTAGTTGAGAAAGGGGCAGTGAACTTTGTTTTTAGGGGTGACAAAATTAATCCCATTGTACCCAGCAAAGTATAAAAGGGATGCCAGTGAAAAAAGGCTGTAACTGATCAAGAATGACTTTGATATTAACACTCAGTCCTGTGTATTTCTTTTGCCTTATTTCATAAAAGTTATCTTACACAAATCTGGGAGAAACATCTGCATCTCCCAAAGACAACAAAAATAAGTAACAATCTTTTTTGGAATATTGTGCTTTGTAACTAAGACTAAGTTATTTTTTGGGGCTACAACCTTTTTCTTGAAAAACCTTTCTTCTTCATATGGAATTTGATCAAATATAATATTAAAAATGATACAGTGATGTATTTAATTTATATCGTTCAGGTTACTTTTTAAATATTATACTCATGAATGAAAGTTTGACGGAGGGTCTACTCTGTATATATAATTTAATAAGAATCCATATCTATTCTATAAATTTATATATTTTTAAATAGCTTTCTGTTTGGTAATATTACAAAAATACTATTGCCTCTTTTCGTGGTGTGTGTGTGTGTGGGAATGCATTCTTGTGTGTTCGGCTCTTGTTCCCTTTAGATACAGAACTCAGTATCTGTCACTGACCTGGTTTAATGGTTTGTAACACATGGTGCCCTGACACCAAAACTGTTCCGATACAGTGGTTTTTACTAGGCTCTTAGGGACGATGACAACAGGAAAGTCACCTTTCTGGACACCAGCCATAAGAAGGAAGGAGGGAGCTTTTATATGAACTTTACCAAAGTTCAAGATGCACAAACGAAGCATATTAGAAGTCTGTAAATTTATAAGGATAGTTTATTTAGCAGGTTTTCATTTTCAAGCAGAGGTAAACATTTCAGGCAACTTTGGTTCGGATATACTTTTGTGAATTTCTTCGTTGTTAATTTAAAAAAAGTTGATTATTTTTGTGTTTAATTTTCATTGTTTTTTACCTCTAAAAGAATTATATCCATTTGCACTTTTAGTGCACAAAAATCAGCATCCTGTGAAAGATAATTGTCCTTTTGCCTCATGTTGCTTTTCTCATTTTTTTTTCATAATAATTCTAGGAAATCCTAGAGTTTGTTGGTTTCCCTGATATGATTGTACGGTTCTCCTGGTTTACATTTCCAAGGGTTCCTGCTTTTCCCCACCACATTAACCTCCCTTTATCCTTAAATGTCTCAGAATTTGTGAGGCATTACTGAGGGATGAAGGATTTTCCTTCTCCATGGCCGACCACGTGATCCCCCTGGAATGACAAATGGGCTGTGGGCAGCGACTCGAGAAGGACACAGATGTCAAAACCATGAATCTCTGTATAGCGCACAGAGTACAGCCTTCCACTTTTGCCCAATCAGCACTTTCCTCATTTCACCTGTGCTAGGGAATAATCACTCGTTTGCTGGACTAATAAGGGGAAAATGAAGTGACAAATATGTAATGTAAGGAGGCTGAAAGGTTTTCTGCTGTTGGAGCCGGTGCTTGTCAGCCCGTTCAGATATCGCGGGGGGAGACCGAAACCTCTGATCAATCGAGTAGCCTGGCGGTTGAGCCTGTTGTTGAAGCCATTTCTTCATTTTCAAATTTGTAATTGGTAATTAAATTTCATTTTTCCTTGATACCGCTGAACAGCGCATTCCTTTGAACAGCATGCACTTTTCATGTTTTTGTACATGATGTTTATGTACTTTGAGGTCCCATATCCAGCATGGTTTTTAAAAAGAGATACCTTGAACAGGTAACGTGCAAACTCTTTCGTTATCTGTAAAATTTATTTTTAGAAAATAACAAAAGGTAAAATCTTTTTAAATAGGAAAGAGATTTTAGATTTCTTCCTCAATAAAACAGCTCAAATTCATATCTGCAAACATGTACTCACACATTTGTGATGATTTGCTAGCACAACTTTGGTTTCTAACCAAAAAGCCTTTATAGTTTTAATTCAGGAATAAAACTGTGTACCCCTCAACTTCTTATTAAATTAAATTTAATTTGATTAATCCATTCCATTTCTTCATTAAGGAACTCTCACTTTTTCTAATTTATGTAGAGGAATAAATATTAATATGATTTAATTCCCCTTCCCAAAGTATCAAGATTTTTTTTTTCTGAATTTCATATTTCTTTTAATGCCTGCTCTGCTTCGCTTGCTTGATTCCACTTCTCATGCATTGCCACTAGTCAGGGCAAAGTGTGATTGTATTCTGGCTGTGTCTTTTTGTGGGAGTTGGTGAGTTGCTGTGGATTAATGTCTTTTACTGTTACACTCTGAGATTCAAGATGAGTGGGGTTACCTGCAGTGCAGAAACTCCTTTGGTACGTGGACAGCATTTTCTACAAAAAACGAAGACAAATGCAGGGGCGTTGCACTGTGGGATCCTCTGTGGGCTTGCTTTTTTTCTGTCTCATCTAACACAACAGTGAATAATTTCCGTATTTGTGTCATTTATGGAAACAGCACACGTTTTCTTATCCATATTCAGATGTTTATATCGTTATTGCTACAATGTCCCTTTTCAGTGTTTTATGTGGAATTATGTGTACTTCGTATTATGCAGATGCATCATCATGCTGTTTGTTTTTGTGGCGTTTTCTGCTAGCAGATAGTCTGATAGTCTGCATTTTCATTTTTGATGGAGTGTTGCAGTATTAAAGAGCAGTTCCACCCCCCCTCCCCACACACTGATTCTTAATGGACATACCAGCTGAAATAACACTAAAGGGACATCAACAGGGGGTGGCAGTGGCTAGAGGCTATTTTGGTCTGACTGTGTAAAAAAGGATTGATGAGTTTGAATATTATATTTTAATTTTATAAAAGGGAAATGCATGATAATGTCTTCCAGACGTACCACAGTTGCTACAGCTGCTCTCAGCATTATGTCCTGCATGTTATTGTTGTAAATAGGAAAGGAGTAAAGTCACAATTATGACATTATTCATTAACTTTCTATCTTGATAACAGTGATCAAACTAAATTGGACTAGGTGGGCTGAATGTTTTCTCTTGTTTGTAACCTTTTTCTAATCTTTTTAAGTTCTGGATTTTTTATTTAAATTGTTTTGAAATGAGAGACTTGGCAAAGTGCTGGTTGGCACTTGCCTTGTAGATTTGAGAGCCCTGGGTTCAGTTTTGTGTGAAGTTCGCTGGTTCACCCCATGCTTGTGATCATTTGTACCGTGCTCCAGTTTTTTCCCTCCTCCCAAAAAATGTGCTGGTTCAGCTTGATTGGCTAGTCAGATTTGTGCCTAACCCTACAATGGATGGCATCCTGTCTGGGGAAAGAGCAGTGATGTTGTCTCAGTCCTGCCTTGCTCCATTTCATAATTTTTATTTGGCTTCTAAGATAGACTTCAGCTTGTCACAGCCCTCAACAAGATAAGCAGCTTATAGATGATGGATGGGTATGTTGTGAGAAATCTTATTGTATTTATAATGGCAGGACCACTTTATAGAGGGGTAGAGCTCATGGTAGCTGATAGATAAACTAAAAGCTAGATAGAACTGGCTATCAACACTTGTTAGGTTTTTTCAGTCTTTACAGAACTATGTTGGTTCTGGTGTACATTCTGTTTTGTTTGCCTAGTTATGTGTAGATTTGCAGAAATTAAATATAATAGAAATAAAAGTCATTCATAGGTTTACAGTCATTGGTCGTTTCACCTTAAGTCTGGATTAAACACAAACGTACAGACTTCATCTTGTTGTTAATTTATTTGAGCTGTTGGTGATTTTTTGTCAAGTCTGAATTTTTCTGAGGGATGTGGTGTCAAGTGTGATTTGACATTTTTTCCACTAAACTTGTTGGGACTGGCTTGGGATGATAACAATCTTCTCCAAAGTACAGAGTGTGCTGTTCTAAATTTATGTTTGGAATGATTTAGCTGTTAGCTTTTCTTTATGGGTATTAAGGTTGCACAGTGGATGACTTGACTTCTCTCATTTTTTAAGAAGTTCAACTGCTGGAACAAGCCTTAAAGCAATGTCTGCAGGGTGAACCATGGAAAGTGAAACACTTTGCACCTCTTACGCGTTATTTTTCTCTGCATTGCTGAAATCTGTCAGTAGTGTAAATCATTGTACAGCAGATCTTTGATTGAAACCTGAAATGGTCCCTGACAAAAAGGAACTGATTAATATTAGGTACAGTATTAATTAAGACATTGTTTTTCTTTTGTTCTCAGCATCTGCTGGAAATTGTAATGGTTACTAATAAAAATGATGGCATTGTCAGAAGCAAATTATTGGTATCATCTGTATCACGAAAAACAAGGTATAAGAAGAAAATATATTCAGTCAGACTTGAATGACTTGTCATGAAGACTAACATGCTAGATGTTTGTTTTATATTCTTAAATTGATATTTCAGTGCAACAGGAAAGAGTTCATTTTGTAGAAGTTACCGAAAAATATTGTATTATGGAGGGTTCTATTGACAGATGGCTTTACAGCTTTTTTTTCTGAATTCACATAGTGCGGTACATTAATTTCATAAAGATTTTATTTGATTTACTCCTCATGTTAACAGAAAGGTGCTTGCTAGACCCTCCAAGCAGCAGAAAAGCAAACTTCAGCAAAATCCACAAATGTCAGGGGACGGTCATAGAGCATACCTTAAATGCACAACAGCAGCAAATTTATTTTAGTGAGAAATTAGAAAGGTGTCATGAGGGAATAACATTGTGTAACGAACATCGGAATACTTTATGAAGTCAGCAGGTATTAAAAGGAGGATGAATTAACTCTTTCATTGGGCACAAAGACTAAACAAATGCATGAAAACTATTTAGTCCAAAAAGTGAAGATTTAGATAGGAAATGCTGTGTGTTGCATCAGAAAGTTGCATTTCAGTCTCAGTTGAAGAATTTCTTACCATGGAAAGAGCTGAATTGACTGTCCCTCCTGCAGTTTTTTTTAACTGGATATGCCATTAAATGGAGTATATATATATACTTGAGCTGAATTGTACCTTCGCTATTTCAGTGTATCCTGATTTGTGCACCATAAGCCTGGCAGCAGTAGGAGACATGCAGAAGTACAGTGACCGTGTTGCATTCTGGGATGATGTGTATGGGTTCAAGATGACGTGCATGAAGAAGGCTGTCGTTCCTGAGGCTGTTGTGGAGGTCCTGAAACCAGAAACAATCATATCAGAGCCCACAGTAATTCGGGTATGTACGGGAAACCCAAAAGACAGTGTTTGTATGTGCTTAAATACTGTTAATGTGTATGTGTACATGCTAAGCTTAAGTCATTTTAGATGACCTGCAAATGTTCAGAAAACTACTTTATTCTAAAAATGTCTGTGCTGATCCTGTAATACTGTTGAATATCTCGAATCTTGAAATATGCAAACAGGTTTTCTAGAATCTGTAGTGTGTTATGTGTTTATGAAACTGGTTGGGTAATGGACTTTGGAGTCTGAAATGAAAAGACTATAGTTTGAAGTCACAAACCTTAAAAAAATATCATTTTGTTTTCAGACAGAATAATGAACAGTTTTATCCGTTTCTGGATAAATGCTGACACCATCAATCTTAGAAATATCTATACAGAAAATGTTGTAATTTTGAATGTTTTGTTGCTTTGTTTTCTTGAAAAGTGAATCCTAAAAGTTAGAACAAAGACAGTTTAGTGATCGTTTTATTTTGGAGCTATCTGTCCCATTCTTAACATTGACGTATAACAATACTCTGTAAGTAGTGTTTGCGTGGTAAAAAATGAGGAAGAATTAACTTATAAATTAACATATTGTAAATTATTGTTATTTTTGAAAGGATACACAGGAGGGACCATCTGCCATCTAGTTAGGAGTTCTTTCCTTAGGATGATGACATTTAATCAGCAATGAGTAAGAAGTAAACATTGAATATCATAAAATAGCCTGCAACCATTCTGCCTGAACAGCACCTGTTTTTAAGAAATAGCCATAATCCTGACCTTTCTGGAAGTAACAAATTGTCATTTTCTCTTCTGTAACTTAGAGGATTAAGTTCCTTATGGCAAGAAAAGATAGCTTTCTGTCACAGAGTTAATGATTGATTGATTTTCTTCTTGCTTACTTTCTTCTTTAGTAAGCTTAATTAATATTCCATTGCAGTATAGTCAGTAGCATTCAAACTCTGACAAGGTATTTTAACATGCATACATTTATAATGCTTTAAGGCTTAAGGTTTATTTTATTTTTAATCACATTGCATTAACTGTAGGCAAGCACAAGTTTAATGACTGTGAGGAGCCCATGTACTGCAAACTAATCTAAGTTTTTATCAAAGCACCAATAATAGTTAAGACAAACACCCCTCAGTGAAATTACTGTTTGTATTTTTTCACTTTTCAATATATAGTTCTTAATTGCACTTTCATTTTAATAGAACTTTCCATCTTTCCTCTCAGCTGTGATAGATGACTTACACACTGGGAAAAACTGATTAGAATTTAAAGTCAATAATTTTTTTCTATGAAAAATGGACAGCTCCTTAGTTAAATTATACAGCTATTTACACATTACCACAATAGATACGATAGTCATATTCCATTTTTAAAACAAGAAGTGCAGAAAATTGAAAACTGTAGCACAAAACTCAAAATCCTGTCAGGGAGTGTAGTCATGTGTATTTTTTGTGTTGATACTATTGGGTATTAGCTATGTGATTTTTAACAGTGAAATAAGCCAACTGTTTCGATTATATACAGCATATTGTTATGGGTCATGCTTCTGTTGCAGATGTCAAAGTCCTCTCACTATTTGGAGGCTGGGAAAAAATCATTCTGTAGTGTGCAGGCAGGGTGATAACCTCATTGATCTATGTTTTGAATAGCAGAACATTAATTGCTGACAGTACTTATTCTTGCATTTTGTTAATAAAATAATTACACACCATTAGACCATAAAACTAACTTACATTTATCCTTGTTTCTTCTCTAGAATATCAACTGCAACACTGCAACAATTTCGGAGCTGGAGTTTTCTACAGATTTCTCTTTAAAGATAAGAGAAGATACCCAGTGCACAGTAAGTAGGTTCTGTTTACTGAGGTATCAGAAGGGCTAATCATGATTGTCACACTGGAAGATTAATTACCAGCGTGCAGATAAATGGAGAAGTAGATTGGCTTAGATGGTCCATTTCAAAGTTTTAGACGAATTGAACACCTGTCTGATTAATAGATTCTGAGTAGTGAAAGTAACTATTAAGCTTGTCATTAAAAAAAGTTTGATTTGGGCAGCAACTGAATGCAGTGAAGTTTTTCATTTAAAAACTTAAAAGCAGTTTCAGTTCAATTTCAGTGCAGTTCTAATAGTTTCTCACATTTCTTTTAACAGATAGCAGAACACCTATAGATCATTTGACATTTACAATTTGCTAGCGAAAAATGATTCAGATTTCTGATACATTGGAATTAAATGCAAAAACTATAGACAGGTGTAATATTTCTTTTATAGTCAGTTTTGAAGACATTCTATTTGACGTTCTCAGACTTGTGTTGTTTTTATTGATTAATCAATATTAGGTTATCATCTAGCTCGCCTTTTGATTGTTCAGTGTTGCCTTAGTGTAATAGAATGTGATGCAGCCTCTCATTTCCTTTTTCGACATCCTCATAATAGCAGACATCCCCTTTCCAATATTTTGTTTTTCCTCTATAAACCCTAATTTCCAGCTTGCTATATGTGAACCAAAAAGGCACCATGGCGTACAAAACATCTATTAAAAAATGTGTTTGTTTGTGCCTGAAAGATTTTCTTGATTAATACAGGTAAAAATAAATAGAATTTATCACAGGGGATTATCGACATTCAATGAGTAAAATCTCTGCCACTTCCATGATTGAATGCATGCTTTTAAGTTTGTGTCTGACACTCCATTCATCATATCAGCCTGCCTAACCTTGCATTAAATGAACAATACAACTCTTCATTTTTATTCCCTAGATATAAACAAACTCTTAATAGTAAACCTCAAATCTCCAGCCCAAATGGAATTTTTGTTGATGGTCATGTAGATCAATCCTTCGTGTCAATGTGGGTTGCCTTGAAGAAGGCGTTGTATGTGTGTGAAGAATATTTTTTTCCAAATGTGGATCCCAGTTGCACTCCAGTTAGCTTCAGTCAGAAATATATAAACTATTATGTTTTTGCTTTCCATCTGCTTATCTTGTGTATTTTGTAGTCATCTGTAACAGAACAGCTCCCTGTTCACCATCCTTGGTTATATGCAAATAGATGATACAGAGTGACAATTTAAATTAATGGTACACTTTTCAATTACCATTCTTACTATTTTTTTGCTTGTCTTACCACTCTTTCATGTGCGTCTTTAATGTGCCTTTTCTCCACATTTCAATTAAAAACCCAATTCTTGGAGATTTTCCTGGTCAGATTCCTGGAGTAGGTGTCTGTAGGGCCACAACCACTTGCGAGCGATGGGGGGAAGTGCCCACTTGACCACAAACAGCGACTGTAATTTAGATCTAGGGGGTTGCAGTGGTGAGCAACAAACAAAAGTATGTCCCCTAAGGGCTGCAGTTTGACATCCTAGTTTTGCTGGCAAACCAGGGAGTGTAATTTCACCTCAAGCCTTCATTTAACACTGGGATCTTGAAACAAGGGATCCCAAGTGGTACTGGGGAGAACAGAGTATTTGATTTCTCACAGCGGTGTTCATAGAGTGAAGATCTTTACTTTCACAGCAGTCAGTGTTTAAGATGCATAAAGCTAATCTCACCTTTTCCCAATAAACCAGATGCAGACTTTTGCAATGTTGGAAAAATAATTAAACAATAAGCTGCTGATATGGTTTATGAATACCCTCCTGTTCCCTGTAATATATATCTTTGAATGAGGGCATTGTTTTGTTCATACCACCCAGTTGTCTTATGGACAGTATAAAACGGGGGAATGATACTAGTTGTGTTTTTGTTTGTCTGTTAATTCTGAATCCCCCCATTGAACACCCTTTAATGCTTTCATTTATGAACACAGGTTTTGGATTATAACATTTTTTGTGTGTTAAGATGTTAGCTATTATGTCAGATGTCTGGAAAATTGTGACGCTCTCGGAATGACAATCCTGCTGTGTCTTAAAGTTCAGAGCTGAAAACAATTTAGAATAGAAGACAAAATCTCAACAAACTGTAGGTGAATGAGTGGTTTTCCATAATTCTTCAAATTTGAATGGTGAGAGTCCTCTCTTGGTAGGTATCTGCTTTAAACATTCTATTCATTTTTATTCATTTTGACTTTTCAAGTTTCCTGAATAATATTAAAACACATTAATATAAGATTAATGAATAGAATTTGAATGATAAAAAATAAATGGCTAAGGTTTGCTTTGCATTTTGACAAAAAAGCCTCTAACCCTCCTGCAAGGCTGGAGAGGGTTGAGGCTCCACGCTTGGGTGAACTCCATCAAAAGCACATTATCCTCCTACTTCCACGGCCAGATGCATAATTGTATCTGGCTCAGCCACACGCTGCTCAAACATGATACCAGTAAAGGAAAAATGATAAATTACTCCCTGTTGATGTAAGTGATGATGATAATTATTAATTTTCTTCTTCCCTGGGAACTGTAGTATTATGCTGCCTTTTTTGTCTTCCTGTCTCTTTTGTGGTTCTGTGGGATTTCTCTTTCATTATTTATCCTCGACAGAATGCAGGTTGAAGGCTAACTGCTGATGAAAACAAAGAAGGCCCATCTGATTTGTCCCCTTTTCAGTTTTTTTCCTTTAGAGGCTCAAGACCAGAAGTTTAGACTGCATGACTTTTAATTTAGGGCAAGGAGGATCTTGGACTTTTCTCTTGCCAAGTCCTTAGTTGGCCGTTGTATCCTAAAATGCTAAAGGAAACTGAACACATCTTTAATTAAGTAAAACTCATTTTGTATCACCTAGAAATTTTCTTGGATTGCTTTTGCAAGTGAGAATATTTCATCTTAATTTCTTTTTCTCAGAGGTCCTTGACAAATTCTGTAAAAAAAAAAAATTGCTCCACAAATCACAATACAGTAATCCTTTGGCAACAGCGGCAGATTTTTGGTTGATAAACTTAAGACCTTATGGGGAAAAATAGGGTTGGGGAACTGAAGTCACGATTCAACATAAAATCCCTCAGAAAAAAAAATCACCTGCAATAAGGTAAAACAATAACATCAGAGTAAAGAAAGACAAAATATATTTTGGAAATAATATGGATAGTTTTTAAAAGAGTTTGTGACATCATTCTTACCTTTATTGCTGTGGTGATGCCAATGTACAGTAGATTGGGTCACATAGCATATATGAGACCTTAAGCAATGTTGCTGTTCCACATCACACTCTTGATAGCTTCCTTGCTTTTCTTTATCGTACAAATTGTAGATTAATTTACACCACACAATCAACCAACAGCACTATTACATTGACCTTCATGCAACTTATTAAGCACTTTAATTTTTGTTTCTAAGTGCATCACTAATCTAGATTGCAATTCTAGATTTGCTCTTTCTTGTGCTCATGAGCCATTTTGATTTATTTATTATTTAATTAATGTCTATCCCTTTTAATTAGGTAATCACCAACACTCCCTTGCACAATCAGATATGTTAATAACCATCAGAGCCTAATGCAATTCTGCACACTAATATGTGCAGGACACTTTTAAGAATGTGAGAGAAATTGCAGAAAGTATCACATCGCAGCTCTCCGATGCTTCTCAAACTCACGGGTACCCAAAATTGGGGGTTTCGCAAGGTACAGTGGTATACTGTAAAGTCTGCATGGAAATGTAAAACCATGTAAGGTAAAAATGCATATAGCAAGATATTACTGTACAGATTATTGTTGGTCACAATTAAATATTATTGAATTAGTCTCAATATGCATTTTCCTGAAAGAACTTAGGTACCTTATCCACTATTATGTGTTCCACAGAATTTCATTTAAAATATTTTCTAACAAAATAATCACCCACACTACGTTACACCCAATTTAAGCATATGTAAGCATATGTTAAGAGTTTTAAAGATTAAGGCTCCTTCTTTTGTCAGTCTTCATGAGGCGTCAATAAAGATAAAACTGGAAAACAACAGTATCCTGAATTTTTTATCTATTTAAGTGTTTCATCTGTATTCTGTTCTAACCTGACCCTTTGTTCGTGTCCTGCCATGTTATTTTTTTTAAGAAGGAAGCAATATTTTGCTGCTTCTGGTGCTGCAGAGACTCCAATCCGATCTATTGTCCTTTGGAAAACAGGAGTTTGGATTCGGTTATTTATCACTGTAGTCAGCTAGTCATCATTTTCAATTTTCTAGCCTGTGTTTCATGGACTGAGGTTTAAATGACTCCTTCAGTAGGACGCCGAAGTCCATTACTATCAACTCTCCGGAGAGCAGTTAACGGAAGAACTGCTAATGCCTGCATGCAGCTTTCAATGAACAGTGTGAATTGAAGCAGTGTGTCTTTGGCCTCTGGCTGTAAACTCACTTTAAATGTTGAGGAAGGCTTGCCTCATGAACTTCTGGGAATTTGTGTTCTTGAAGTGGTTATTTTCTTTCCTTTCCCTTTTGGGATCTTGGGTCCTGTCCGTAAAGGGTAGAGCCGTTTTTTGGAATGAAAAGGAAATGCTGTTTATTTTTAATGATGGCATAATAAAAAGACCGGTTCTCGGTGGAGCTTGCATGTTTGCTGGTGTTATTGTGGCTTTTCTATGTGTCCTCCAGTTTCCTGACATGTTTCAAAGGCACCCTGGCTAGGTTCATTGAGATCTTTAAATCCTCCCTGTGTGCATGTGTGATAGGCTGGCATATCCATCCCATCCAGGGTGTAGTCCAATCTCAATATCCTAAGCTTTTAGGATAGGCTCTGGGTTTTTAAGTGCAGGGCCAAATAGTAATGATTTGTCATTGGCGATGATTAAAGGTGATCTGTCTGTCAGACCTGGATCTGTAAATGTGTTGATAAATAATTTTAATTAATTTGCAATTATAGGTCTAATATGTTCTGCAACAAAGAGTGCCGATAATTAAAATTCATAATTGCATTCGGTTGACATGTTTTTCAATTGTGCTCTTCATGGCTTTTCCCCTCTCGACTGTCTATATCAATAAAAACTGATAAGCACTTCTATTTCTGTTGCGAGAGGAACATGCTGCACTGACACCGCAATTATGAAGTACACCCTGGTGGACCTGCTGAGTAGGCATTTATATTTTAGCAGGATTATATTGATCAAGCATTCAAATTACGAAGCAGTGGTTTGCTTTTGTTCATTTCGTCACAGTCATGACCTAATGTAAAAATGTCCTCGTTCATACCATGTGGAGGACTCATGTATTCAAACACGCTTTTGAATCATGTTGTATAATGGGAAATTTTCACTGAATGCTTTAGATTGCAAATTCAGTTGTTCAGTAGGTGGAAAGTAAAATGCTTACACCAGCAAATGTTGGGGAAAACATTTAAATGCTAAAATAGAATGAATGAGCCACCAGATACAGAAAAAAAACCTGAAGTCATGACATTAAGAATGGAGAAACTGTTTTAAAAATACTGCATATTCTCAAATTAACATGAAAAATAATGGCGCAGTTTGTTTCTCTCAAATGCTGCAAAATGCCAAGCTTTTTTGTACTTCATCGAGAGCAGAATATGTAATATATGACCCCCACCCCCTCCCCAACTATTAGCAAATAGAGAAGGCAGGGAAGGTAAACAGGAGGATTTTGATGTGAACATCTGCTTTGTATGCTTATGTTAATGTGATATAAGTTGTGTTTGAATCTGTTTAATTAGGTTAGACGCTTAATATATTATAGTATAGAAAACTAATGTGGATTGCCATTTTGGCAGCAATTAAACATATTGCACAACTTAATCTTTTGTTATTTTAAGAATCTTTTCGCTTGGTAGACATCACACTGGCCTTCCTTTCCTCCAGCATCTCATCATTGATTATTGCTCTCTTTGTCTGGGAGTCTCTCTCTGTGTTGTCAGCTGTGTCAGGATTAAAAGCTATTAGATTCACATCACTGCATTTACAAGCATGCTTCTGAGATTGATAGAGTTGCTCTCCTTCAGAAGGCAAAATATGTTTAAATTAAATGTTTTTACTCAGTCAGAAATTTGAACATTTGCGCTCTTGTTTTACTAGTATCTTGAATTGAGCTTTACTTTGTGGGAATATTTACTTATTTATTGTAAATAAAATGTACATTATGTATTAGTACAGTATTTTAATATAAGTCTCTTTTATTTTGAATAAACAAGTAAATAGTTGCTGTTATTGACATTGACACAAGAGGCATGGTCCTGTTTCAAATACATTAATGTATTTAAATGCCCTAGATACATTTAGAGAGCTATCCCAATAACTTAATTTTATTTTAAATAGAAAATCATATTTTGTGAAAAATGATTGTATGTAACCTGGAGTATTGTCTCATTGTTCTATGCGATCCATTGTTCCATTATCAAAAGCTTCTTATTTCTGGGTTGCCAGATCATCAAAGAGAGCACATGGACAACCTAGAGACCAGTTAACCTTCCCAGCATGTCACTGAAAGGTGGGGGGAAATGCACATGAACCTGGGGTGAACATGCAAACTCTATACAGAGCTGCAGTCTGGTGCCCCAGTCTGAACTCAAACCCTGGAGCTAAGAGCTGTGAAGCAGCAAAACAGCAGTGCAGAGAGTGAAGATCATGAAAGAATTTTATCCTCACTTTTATACTCACTATTAAAATCTTGTGAAAGAAAAAGGACACTACTGAATGCCACAGATACAGTATATGTTCAGTATAGTTGAACAACACAAAGATAAGAGGTGTAAATGTAGGTGGACAAACTGGAAGGCAGCTAGTAAAACGCCATCGGTTCACTAATGTCAGGCTGAGTCAGTTCGTTCTCCCTCGGAGTTCACTTTGCTGTTTCAGCAGAAACTGTGCTTGTTTTCTATCTCAGGATATGAGGTGCCAAAATGCATATTTTAATAAAAGGTCATTACACTAAAATGATGCATACAGTACAAGCTGTTGACTTGTGTAATTTGGATAATTTCTTTTTATCCATCTGGGCAAAGGCAGTGCATTTTGGAACACATTATTCCTCAAATGAAAGACACACCAGTTCTGAAGCTAAATTTATGAAGGGGGTAAAAACAGTCTCTAGCCTGCAGTTCAGTAAGAGAAATCAAAGATTTATGATTTTTTGCAGTTCTCTATGATAGGTATAAAGATGATGTATAGTATTATGAAGTTGAAACATGATGCCGAGGGTCAACTCATCAGTGATTAAAAAGGCAAATGAAAGGGTTTGTGTATATCGCTATAGAAATTATACATTGGAAATTATTTTAGTATAGGTGTATAGCTTATATTGTTGTGTTGTATGCAAAAGGCGTGCGGACAAAAACCCTGCAAAAAATATTATCCCTTACCCATGTCAATCAGGCAACATTGAACAATCAATTGCGTTGGTTCTTGGAAATGTTCCAGTATTGCAAGATTTTCACATTATCTTTCCTGACGTAACTCTCATTTCATTCTAGGCTATTGTTGGATACTTTGATGTATTCTTTGACAAGAACTGCACCAGTAAGGTAAGTGTTTACATGTTATTTAATGGCAAGTCAATTATGTTTCACTGGTTACAGATTTTGCCCTAAAGGCGCTGTCAGGAAATTAACCTACTTCTTGCGTTGTTGCTGATAAAGGCTTTTTTCAGATTTTTGGACTTTGAGTTATTATTGGAAGTGGAATGTGCCATGTGAAGTTTATTTCAAAGGTGTATTTCACAAATGTATTTTGTTTCCATTTTAGGTCATGTTCTCCACAGGTCCCCAAAGCACAAAAACTCACTGGAAGCAGACTGTTTTTCTGTTGGAGAACCCCCTTCCAGTACAGTCAGGTCTGTACAAACAATGGAATTGCAGTTCTGTTCTAAATTACACTGACCATCTCAGTGGGCTCTCCTGATAGTTCCACAATGTCATGCTGAGATATGTGGTATTTTTTGCCATACGATTAAATTACAGTAATATCATCCTACACACTATAATGTTTATATATACACACAAGGGTGTTTTAGAAATTATTGACAGAAGGGCATATAATGTTGTAATGTGTTGTCTGAATCTGACACCTGATGGACAAATCGGTGCATACCCTCTGGTCTGTTTCAATTATATTTTTAGTGAATAGTTACGAAGCCCATCTGGTGGTGTACCTTCTTTGAACTGTTTAATAGAGCTGCTAGCTCTATTTGAACCTTTGAGCCACTGCCTTCTTTGTTTGAGCTCTGTTTCCTCAGGTTTTAAATTCCAGGATAGCAATCTAACTTCATACGAAACAAAAATTAATTTAATAAAGTAAGCCATAAAAACTCACTTGTAATGACTTTGTCTACTCCTGTTATCATATGTGTGACATCTGCTTGGTTCTTTTCCACATTTGTATTTTTGCTGCACAAAAAATAATAGTCCTTTTGTGGGGGGGGGGTCATACTTCTGGTTTGTCCCAATACAATCACTTGTGGGTCTGTAGAGAAAAGGAGGCTGCGCAACGAGGCTTGATTAAATGAATTAAATTATTCAAGGCAGCTTAATTTTAGTATTAATAGAGAAGACAACAGTGACAATTGTCACTTTAAATTGAGAAGCTGTAAACAGATGGTGTTCACTTTATCACAGTGATGACCTAAAATTTTGTGGTTCAGGTTGAAAGGTATTTGATGTGGACATGATCAATAAAGCACATTGCTTTTGTGTGAAATTTATCTCTGTTCCTGTTTGACCAGTAAATTTGGTGTTTCAGTGTCACAAATGAGAAAGGAATCATTAATGATCAATCTCATTTCTTCTTGCAGTAAAAGGAAGGGGGGGTCTGAGAAGTGAGTGCAGTGCCTTATAATGCATCATTTTATATCAGAAAATGGTGAACTTCAGGAGGATTGATTCTTGTATTTTTTGGTCTTGGATAGCTGTAGACTGATATTGAAAACCATTACGGACTAGTATATCCTTGTTGCTACAAGACAGTGCAGGATGTGTTTTCCTTTTTAGTATATTTCTAAAGTTTTTGAGCCAAAGAATAGTCCTAATTGATTCTTGATGGACTTGTACTGCACTGCCAAATCCACAGTTCCAGACACATTCACAAAGAGCTATTCCAGACACCTTTTGTTTGTTTTATTTTTTTAGTTTTTTAATAACCTTTAAATTCTTAACAGTAGCACAGACCAGCTACAGTAACATCTGGTGACAAAGTCTGTTTCTCTTCATTGCAGTAACCAATCCACATGACATCTGCATTCATGCCGTTTTGCAGAATGCAGTCCTGCATACATTCTAGTATGGCTAACCCAGAGAATTCAGAAAGAGATATTGTTCTAGTTTTGTTTTATATTCAAGCTTCTAAGATGACATCTTAAAACAATATGCTCTTTGGTGTTTCCTTGCATCTGAAAGATTTTCAGGCAAATAAGTTTTGCATGTCCTCAAATGAATGATGATTTTAGCCAATGATTATAGAAGACCTTGTATTGAAAGTGAAAGGACTGACAAATCTTCACTTTATAGATGTTATTCTTATGGCAGGTTTAACTGCATTAGATTCCAGACAAAATAATGGAATACTGTGCCTGAGGAACAGAGAGTCTGAATTATCTTGATGTCATTTTTCTTGCACTGCATTTCAAGCTGCTCCTGTTTAAACATAGAAAGATGTAGTATACGCAAAATGTGGTCATTGTCTAAAAATTCACTTTACACTAATGTAATTTGCTATCAAAGGCTAAATATAATACACATTGTAGGTCTCTTATAAAGCACATACTATAATGTTACTGCCTAAGTTCATGCAATTAAAATGATACTTTGAAGGTGATATTAGATAAATAGTCAGAAAACTGTAGGTGTGAACAGAAGAATAGGATTTATAAGGGAAGATTCCGAGGAAAATATGTCATCTTAAGCAGGTGGTTTATCAGTATAACATTTTACAGGGGGTAAGTTTAACTGTCATTTTCTCTGCCACTCACATCTACTGACATGGTGTATAACAAGGGCTGCTTTTTTTAAATACGCTTTTTCAATGGGTTAGGGAAGGTTCCTGTTCCATATGCGACAGACAAATTTGCTTGACTTAAATTCTAAATGTACATGCGGTGGGTGGGAAACCAGCATTAAGAGCCTATCCTTTTAGCTTGAGTTAAGAGGCAGACCACTGTCTGCATGTCAAGCAGTGAAGAAGAGAGGAAGTGATTATTACTTATAATCAGTTAATTTTCTACTCGGAAACACTGCTCTGATCTAGTGCTCTCTCCGGAGGCGTTAAAATGAAATTAATATTTTCCACCCTTCATTGGCTTGCTGCCTCAGATCTGTGTCTTCTAAATCACAGATTACCGTTTCACATGTATACTGTAGGTCCTGAGAATGGGGCTGTGAATATGTATATTGGACTAAGATGCTTTCAGTGCTTTCCATATGAGACGGTAAATCATTAAAACAACTTTTAGGTCCTTAAAGTCCATCCTTGCTCAAAGCACACAATTATTTTTTCTAGTTATTGTAGAAATGATTTTAAATATAATTTGATTGTTTCGGTCATTTGAAAGGAAGTCTTTAAGTAAAACGATATAGGAAATATTTTATTGGTAGTACCAAGAATGTTTCTTAAAGTTAGTGGCACTTTTAGAGAAGTACTTTTAGAAAATGCTGTTTTAAATGATAATTCTCAAGTGTATAATATGAAATGAATAGAATATGTTAGCTGTCTAGCCATGGATAGGGTTTGACTCCTGCATAACCTCTTATATTGTACAATGCCTTACATTTTAAAGGGGAGCTGCAAATTAAATCTCGGTAATGTAAATTCATTGAGGGTATAGAAAAAAATTCCAAATTTAGAATTAAGAACAAAATCTTTAAGAAAGTACTGCATAGTTGCCATGTTGTCGCAAACGCCTGGTCTTCCCACAGGTGAGAGTGAGAATTCCCACCAATTCTGATGTGACGCTGCCCTTTCCACTCACTAGTCACTGTGATGACTGATGTATTGTGATGTATGGGCGATGTTGTGCTGGAGACATTTCACTGCAGAAATGTTCCAACGTGATATGTGTGCAGAGTTAACAAGTAAGCTGCATTTATCGGCAAAACCGGCTTGAAGTGGAAGGCAATATTTCTATTAGATTAAAAGAGATGCATTCATCAGCCTTCTTGTTTACAATATAACAGGGCCTTTTCACATCACTGGAAGTTTTGTTGCCTTATTCTGAATCACAGAATACAGTGCTGTGCATACCTGGAAATGTAATCTATTTTGTAGTGTAAATTGAAGGTTTTACAAGTTTTGTATACATTTGACTTCTATTTTAGTTTGAAAGGCACTCATCAATTCTGATTCTTTCTAAACCCAAAATATGAAAACAGCATTGCAGTTTCCCTTTGAGTTATGTATTGTTCATGGGGATATTCCGTGTCCCCATAGGTTTCGTATGTAAAATATAGGCAATCTGAATACTACACCTTTATAAATGTAAGCAAAGCAAACCTTTAATGAACTCTAAATTATACATTAAGAACACATTTAAATTTTAATCTTGTTAATAAGTATACAATTAATTAAAGGTCAGTTATTAATCCTCCGTTGATGCTCTGTTAATATATTGCCACTTAAAGACAATTTGCAGCCTTTGTCTCAGGTGTTACCAGTCATAAACTAATGACTCAGATGACAGACATTAAGTGTAAATTGAATGTGTTTGCAAATTTATAAATTATGAAGGATAATTTTTCATTTTGGCTTACTTTTAATTGTCCTAGTCATAAATAAGGATTTTTTAGGACTTTTTGATGTTTAAAACTGTATAGCTTCTTGAAAATGGAACAAAGAAATGTTGTGTCAGCTGCCATGATTATAATTAGTTTTTTTGATTTGTGTATTTACTATGTGGAGATTGATTAATGCTTTGGAAGCAGGAGGTCACCATTTACCTTTGAAAAGTACTTAAGGGAACTGCTATATTCTGAATTTTTCTATTGCAATTATAGCTTACCCATTTCAACAGCAGGGAAGCATGTGCTTTTATTCATCATGTTTTGTAGCTTGTATACTGTAGCTTAGTCATTTAGTCATCTGTCTTGGGCAATGGTTTCTCATGATATTAATTTATTATTTTATGAAAAGGTTTGAGATTAATGATTCTAAGTCAAAAGTGTTTTATAAACAAAAATCAATGATTTTCCCAAACTGAGGTGGAATGCCAATGGAAGCAGAATGACAGTGTTTAAGATTTCATAATCACCCTCTACCAGCAAGGTTGTATAAGACAAAAAGTAATAAAGCAGAGACATAGATTGTAGACTTACAAAGAACACAATGGCAGAGTTTCTGTCAAGTGATCATTGAAGTGAGCAGTTATTAAGGCACTGGCATACTTTGAATTGTTCTTTCAGGGCCTGTAAAAATAATGATTCCTTTTATGAGGACATGAGGGCAGAGCAATGTAATTTTGCATATACAATGAATTCCGCAACAGAAGTATTGTGTTAAAATGCTGAGCTTTACACCACTGCGGTGAATATCAGACAGTGTGGCAGTGTCTTTAGAGGTCCAGCTTAATGCTCTTTACAGGTTATGAAAGGATAGGAGATAAGTCCTCAAATTTTTATGTGAATTATATATGTAAAAATATTATTATGGGGGGTTTTAATTAATTCAATCTGGTTTCTAATAAGATAGAAGCAGTAGATTTACAGTTGAAGGATCTAATAATGCATTAAAGCAGCTTGATTCAACAGAGAGCGTTCTCAGGCTTTTAAGAGCACTGGAGCCTTTAAAACATCAGTCATTTTACACTGCTGTGACATTGATGAATTACTCCGATCAGCCTTTGAGCTATATGGTCCTTTGTTCAGTCCAGCAAGCAGGATGCAGTTGTAATATAAAGTGAATTAAGGGGACAGTGGTTAATTTTATAACCTTATAATTACATAATGATTGCTTTGGTAGGTCATATACAGTATGGATGTGAAAGAATAAGAATCTAATTAGAGAAGTCATTTTTGTGACGATATAAATTGCAATTGTTTAACTTAAATTTCAGAACAGACTTAATTCTGACTGATTGTTATTATTATTTTTTACTAATTTACAAATTTAAGTTACAAGAAAATTCGTTACAAGCTTACAGTTACAATTTTTAAAACCCCACAATGTATCTGAAGTGTGAGCATTCCCATCAGTGAGTACATGTAAATATCAGAATAATTCATTACATGTATACATATGGTGCTATTCACTTGTGTGTAGCACCCACAGGGAGTTGTGTGGCCTTCATTACGCACAAGCAGCCTCACTATACGACATAATGGGCAGAGAAGTGTGAAATTGCTTCATCAATTGAATTAAGGGCAGCTTAAGTCAGAGAGTAAAACCCGTAAGTGGAGTTTAGCCAGGAAGCCGGGGTATCACCCCTAGTCTTTAAGAAAATGCAGGGTGATCTTTAATGACCAATACTGTATGTCAAGATTTCAGTTTAATGACTTAACCAAAGGATCGCATCTCCTTCAGTGCAGCATCTTTGACACCAAACTGGGACATCAGTTTGGAAATTCTGGTCCAGTTTGTAGAGCACCAGTACCACCTACACAATGTGGTTTTCCCTGGAGGTCTCTCATCACAATACTGACCATGCCATGCACAGCCTTGCTCAGCTTTGGAGATCTGATAGGGTCAGGCTGCTGCCAGCCTGGAAGTACCACAGACTTTGACAATCTTCAATCTTTTTGAAAAATTTCATCCTTTAAAATAAATATATTTCATTTATAATATTAAAAGAAGGAAGCAGGGGATAAAGTATTAGCAAGAAAACGGACTTGCGTTTGATTAACAGTTCAGTTTAGGGCTGCTTTATGCTAACATTTTATTACAAACTGGATGTTTAAAGTCTGTTTAACTTATTTTGCGCTGATGTCAGTTTTTAAGTATAGTGACTACAAGCATAACCCTGTTTTTGAATTTACAATAAGGTTCTATTTTGACTGGCTTTATATTTATACCTGTCTTAAATCAAAACTTCAACCCACCCAATATGGAAAATTTCTAAACTCATTACCTGTATATTCTGTAGGCAAAAGGACGGTAAATATTGTTCACACTGGATAATGATGTTCCAGTACCAATGAGAACGTTCCTTCTGGACAGTGAATTGAAATGATGTACTCGGTAGTTTCTTTTGAATTATTTGTAACCAAAAGCACTTGGAATGCAATGCATGAAAAAAGCTTGTTGGTTAAAGAGTAAACAGTAATTTATCACGCCTGTGAAATGTGCAGTAAATCAAACTAATTATCTGATGAATTATCTTCCAGCCAATGTGTCGTCTTTACTGTAATCATATCCATTTTGATTGCCATCTGGTTATAATCTGTAAAAGTGCATTTCATTTCTGCACTTCAGTGTTTGTTACAGTATGAATCTTAGACTTGTAAACTGGAGGAAGATTTTCAATTATTTGATTTTTCTTGTATATAAGTGATTAGAGCAACGTGTTCACATCTTCAGTTCTTTTAGAACAGTTTAGCCTAGATTTTATTTCAGGAAAGGTATATTTCCTTCAGAAACTGTAGCTCTTTTCTGTTATTGATGTTCATTTGTCTCGTCCATTTTCAAATTAACAGTATGGATGTTTCAAAACTTGAAAAATATAACAAAGTTGGAACTAAGATAACATGAAAGAGTTTGTTTCAAAACAAATTTGTTGGAGAAGAGGACAATAATGAAGTCCTTTTCACTTGGGCCTTAAAATTAGAACAAAAGATTTCAGTTTATGTGCACGCTCTTCATTTTCAACTGTATATACAAAGGAAAGGATTTCTTTTGCATTTTCGTCCATGTAAATTATGTATAAAGTGCTCTGCTTGTTGTAGCATTAAAATTTGTATTCTTCAGTGTAAAACATTGGAAAGATTTTGATTTATTTTAGCATTTACTATACCTTTCTTGTTGTTTTTCAGGAAATACCTTGCAGGGGAAAATAACAGTCCACAAGAATAGGAAGGACCCAAGATCTCTCATCATCACTATTTCTGTGAATGATGTGAAGCAGACTTACAGTCTTCAATAGTGTCATTGACCTTTAAAAGTTGTATTAACCCATGGAAATAAACACAACGCTTTGATATTCCATTGCCTTAAACCACTTGATTGTTTGATATTCATTCACTGATAACCGTTGCACACAGATCATTTTTGATGTTGTTGTGGCGTTGTCAGTCTCATGCCATCACAACTAAAGGACAAATGAAAATGCTTTTTATTTACACAAACTGTTTCATTTGCAGTTCATAAAAAGTGTTTAGATTATACAAAGCTGTCTTTTTTTGTCTTTATCATAGTGTATTAATCCAAGGCTGTTTGTGTTCATTTTTCAGCAACTGCTTGAGAAGCAAGGTTTAGTACAGTATGTTTCAGATTTTTTTCCTGGTGATCTTCTTGAAGAGATGTTCAAAGATTTAAGATTTTTTAGTTAGTAACTGACTTTCTGAAGCTGTGTGGTTGGAGTCTAGTATTATGACAGGTTTGTCAAGATTTCCACTTTATATTTGATGACTTTTTTGTTCTTGCCTAATCATTTTTATTTAGTGGTATCTAAAGTCTGCCTTTAATAACAATGTCCCATTTTACTGTTCCTGGAGGTGTTTTTTTTAATTGAACAGAAACAGTGTGACTTATTTTCACCTTTTGTTTAATGTAGAATAAGGCTCACCAACCCTGCTCTTGGGGAGACACAGACCAGCAGATTTTGTAGGTCTCCATTAAATCAACAGTTTCTAAATTGTAATCAGTTGAATGGGTAATTTGTAAAATTAAGTAATTTGAGTTCATTTACAACTAAAATCTTAAGTCTTTTAATTAATCTAATTCCACACTTAAGGACCAGAGTTATCTTAATTGAGCAGATTACTTGCTTGATTCATCAACATTTTATAGGTGTTGCTAGATTTTAAAAACAGGTGATCTATAAGACCCAAATAGAGCTCTATACTATAAATTTTGAGTTGAAGAATAGTCAAGGTTAAATCAGAATGTTCTTTTAACTGTCTAGAAGTGCTCTTGGGAAAAATAATTATTTGATCATTGTTTCTATTTGGTTCTTGGTACATTTCCTGTGTTACAGTCTGCAGTCTTTCTTGATTGATATAGTTTTAAAAGCTCAGGATATGATTCTGGTATTACCTATTAATTACTGACCTCTTCTTTTTTCTAATCAGTCTAGGCCAGAATCTTTTGGTGTTAAGGCATTTCTTTATTTTTTATTTTGTCTCCACAGGGCTAAATCAATGGTAACACTCTTTGTTAGAAGCACTTCATTTTCTTTATAGAAAATAACTTAGTAGAAGTAAGATTGCACTGCAGGATTGTTCAAAAGATAATTACATTGTATGTAGCATAACATTTCTCTTTGTTTTCTGTGGATTGCTGCATTTAAATGAACTTGCAGTAGCCCCATCTGTTTGTTTGGGAGTTGCAGACAATTCTAAAGTAAAAATGCTGACAAAAAATATACACATCATTGAACAGCCTGCTGACATGAAACGTTTTGCGTTTTGCTGTGATTTTGATGACCTATAACAGGATGAATCATAATCTCAGTTCAAGAAAAAAATGTGGATTTGAAAAATTTAATTTTGTTCATTGTCCTAGTCTACAAATATCTGTAATAGGATGTAGAATGTTATTCTTTCAGGCAGGGTGAATTTTGTTCCATCTGTAGCATCGTGATATTCAAAACCTAAAATTCACTGGAACAGTAATTGAAGTATTCTGTGGAAATTCTTGAGGATAAATTCTGAATGAAAAAGTTAAAAATGAGTATTTAATTGAGATTGTAGTTGCACAATGTGACAGTGTGTGTAACAGTCACCAGCTGAAGAAAAGTTCATGTCATCTGATATTTGATGGCAACTTATTTTCAAGTAGCTACATTTAAGTTTGATTTTTAAGTCTTGTGGAATTATTTCTCCTGGTAGGTTTTATTTCCTTTATTTTAAAACAACCCAGTGTGTTGAATATTTAGATTTTTTGTGTAGTGTCTTTATATTGATTGATAAATACCTTGTTTGTACTTTGTTCATTTTACTAAGCTTACATTGCTAGAATGCATAAATAATACACAGTTTGTTGTCTTAGATAATTTCAACAGAACTAAATACAGTGTTTTTGTGGTTAACAGGCAAGAAAAGGAAAGGAAGGAGGAAAACTATTGAAGGTTCACATCAAGATGGGCCATTGTTTAGTAAAATGTAAGGACAAGAAGCTTAGAACATCAGGCTGGATACATACCAAATACCAAATTGAACAGTATAGAAGTCCTTGATTTACTACTTATCATTTCAGCCAACTTTCATTAGTGAGTAGCTCTTGTCATAAAAGTGCTTAAGAGCATTATAACAAGTTGCCAAAATAAAGCAGTAAATAGTCCCTCAGTCCAAAGTTTGTGAAGTGTGACATGAGATTTTGGCATTTATTGTTTTATTAAGGTGCCTCTAGAACACAGCTCTTGATGGACAATAAAAACAGGTAGGTTAGTTGTTCCTTCTTTATAAAGTAAACTTCATGCCCACAGGTGATGTAGCTCTTCCTGACAAAAAAATCATTGTTCTTTGGTACAAGATTAGATGTTATATATTTTTTCTGTGTATATTCCTTGTCTTTATCATGTATGCTGTGTGTGTAGGTTCTCAAAAGCACACAAAGCTGAAAATACAGTGTACATCTCATTTCCAAAGTACTGCAGGAAATTGCATCTATGTAACAATGACACAAAAGCATGTTTTCAAAATAGCAATTCTGTTATACATACCACTTGAAAACTGGCCTTAAAGCCATAGCGCATCTGTGTATGCTAGTTCACATTTTTACTGCTCGTCTTAAATCCTGATATTTTTTCACAAACTGAAAAAATTACAGCAATTGTCAGGATGATTTGCAGAATCAGTTGTGTGGAATTGTGTACATTACTCCCCTAAATAGACATATAGCCAGATATCTGCTTTATTTGGGCCCTTTTGAAATAGTGTGTAAACTACTGTACTCCCAACTGAGAGGGAATCCAACACATACTATTTACATGCATTGGACTGGGTGAGGACCCAAGGCAATCAATGGATTTTATTTTGTACACTGGAGATGCAGTACAAAATATGGAACAGCCCAAGGGGGTTCATGATGCACATTATTTGGCATGAGAGTTAAGTCGCTAACAGACCATTAAAATAAGAGGAGATGAAGCAGTTTAGAAGTAAAATTAGACTAAGGCCTCTCTGAAATGTAGAACCTGAATATGTTAAAACCTCTGTTATCTGTTCTTCCCGTTCCACCATTCATTGTCAGAAAGTCAGTTCCCGACAGGCTGCGTGTCGGCGAGACCCTGATCTCGGGAGCATACGGCACATGGCGGGACCACACCTGGGCCCGCCGGCAGTCCACTGCAGGACAAACGCACACTCCCCGGTCACTTTAAAGACGGTGATCAACACACTGCGTAAGGCATTAGTAGGTGCGAGGGAACCTGAGCAACTAGGGAAAATCCACGAGAACGTGATGAGAACATGCAAGCTCCCCACGGAGTTCCAGTCCGATATCGACCCCAAGGCCCAAGAATGAGACACCGGCGATAACTGCCTCGCTGCTTCTGCCCATTCATCTGTATTGTACTCTATATCAGGGTGAGTATTGCACTTGTGTTTTATTAAAAGATGTAGGAGTACCAGCAATATTTTTACTGAAGTCAATCAGTGTGACCTTCAGTGAGCCGTGTTTCGTTTAGAGTTCATTAGGACGTCTGAAGCTGAACCCTGCCTCTTATCTGTTCTCTGCCAGTAATGCAGAGGAGAGGTGAATTAATTACAGTTCGTTTAGTAATTAATTATCTGATCACTACAACTATTATCTCAGGTCAAGGTGGATCGTGAACGGGTCTTTATACAGTTAGAAAACCTGCAGGTGCCTGGATATTCTCCAGAAAGGATCGTGTAATAGAAGTTATAGAAAATCCTAACGCAAAAAAAAAATGAAATCCTGTGCTTATACTGTACATGTATTTACGCACCTAACTACAAATGCGATTTATCCCATTTCTTTCAACAAACGGCAACGTTTACAAATTTCAAGGTTCTAATTATTTTGTACTTGATAATATGAATAGGTTAATTTAAACATTTTGATTTTGAGTTTCTTGTATTACCATCTATCTCACCTGTAATTCATCGGAACGAATAATATCCGAAATATGTCCGTCGTGAGATGTTTTGAAAAATTCGGAACCAGGTCATCAGATTTTTCCAGTTTGATACTGTAGATTAACAGGCGACCAGATGCCTCTGGCAATATGTAACTGCGGCATTTCCAGTTCAGGGTATCCCCTTTTTCATTAGGGGTCTCTTGAAACTGAAAATAAAACCTGGACAATTATGTATCTGCCAAGAAAAAATATCTAAAACCAAGACAGTCTGTATATGAAAACATTATTTAGAAGACCTGTCCTACATCGGTTGCCAGTATTAAAAAATATTATCCGCTTGTGTCAACACATGGAGAATTTATTTTTAAGCAGGATGTTTTCATGGGGGATAGGTGTTTTTTAAAAGGACTAAGTTAGTCCATTTCTTAAGCAAAATATACACATTAACGTTCGGCAACGGGTCCATAAAGAACAATGTCAAATTATTATTTTTTTACTGGGAAAGCATAGGGAAACTATGACAAAGATACATTAATAAAAATACATAAGGACAATAGATTTTCATCTTAGATGTCAACTTATCCTGACGCGATGCACATTCCTGTGATGGGGAAAAAAGCTAATTACAAGGAACCTGCAGTATTCCGTGTAGAGAGTATAAGGACATTGATCTGTATAGGGGATACACTGCTCCAGCACTTCTTCAACTGTGCAGTAAAGGCGTAAATAGGACCAAGTAAAGAGGAACTAAAATCAATTACTATTATTCTTCGTTGACAAAGTAATTAAGACTGGACTGGCCAGTTAATTTACTGCGGAAAGACATGCTGGAGCATCTTACAGATTTATGGCCAGCCCTGCTTCAGCGTTCATTACAAGTGATTATCACACATTATCAGGCTGTGCAATATGCAATGAAAACCGTGCGAAGGTATACTGCTGTACTGTTTTCGAAGGTGCGAGGATGACGTAGAAAACCTACGTTTTTCATAATCAGGGACCGAATATGGTCCTTATTATTATTATGGGGATAAATTCTTAACACCATTAAAAATAGAACTGCTGAAGTCTGTAAAAAGGATGTGCATACTGTATGTGGCTTCGAGTTTGCGTGGGCCGATTAATTTGGCTAGAGCAGTTTCAGCTATTTTTTCTCACCGATTTCGAAGTTACAGTATGTATGGACTCTTGGCTGGTGCATTTCCTGCTTCGCACTCCGGTTTATAACTCCCAGTCAGCGCTATTGCTAAAGATAGAAAGTCACGCCTTCTCTTGGCTTGTGCTGAAGTTTAACGCAGTGTTTCGCAAACCATGCACGCTTACATAAATATACAAATTTTGCGCACATTGTCCTCCTCCTGCCCCGACGCGCGTCACCGGCCCTAGCATATTTTTCTTAACGCTAGAATTCCAATGTGTAAATCGGAGCTCGCCACGAAGTGCATAGTTGCATTAACCTGACAGGAACCGACCACAATGAAACACCGAGCTCTTGCTTAACCGATCACACACGTTCTCTGTTATTTTTTGTATATTAAACCTGAATATCTGAGCTGGCCAAGCGATTCCAACGCGGTCTCCCGTAATCTGATCAAACGCTTAACCTGCAGCACGACACGTCGGATATTCCACAATTTACTGTATATAAACAGTATTTGATTTATAATTTGTTTAAAACTTTTTCATTTGTGACATTTACAGAAGTCCGTCTGAGAAACGGGTTAAACTTATGACTAACCATGTGTACTCCTCACATCAAGATAAACCATTCATAGGACGGTTTCAAGCACACAAGGGTCCCTAACAAGGTACAACTAACAAATACCTACGCATGAAAGTTTATTTTGAATTAGTAGTCTTACGTGGATAAAACAATATTTTGTACATCTGCGCCGAAACACAATAGTCAGTTTCTATATTGATTTAATATCTTGAAATAATAATAATAATATCATTTGTTTTTATTTTTAAAAGTAAACAAAGAAAAAAACTTGCATGTTCCTGGAAATATTTTATTTGTGTATTTATTTTATATTCCGAAAACTACTATTATGATCTGCTATAGCGGTTTGGCTCCCTAAAATTGTAACCTGCTTTAAACGGGTTAATAGTTAATATAGAATCCAGAATTTATTTTGTTTAAAAAAACAGCAAAATTACATAAAGATATAATGAAATATGCACTAATACAAACAAAAGTTAGTTTTCTTTTTCTAAAAGGTTGAACTCCATCTTGCACTAAACGCGCACAATTACTGTTTGTATTTTGCTACATCATAAATATACTCGTGTTTTTTAAAGAACGTTTAAGTATATAAAAATAATTAATTATTTCCAACAACGTGTGCAGAAAGTAAAACAAATTGATTTATACAGTATTTGTAACATCTGCAGTCTAATTCTTACATGTTCATCTTTTATCAGGTAGCCATCATCCTTTTCTGAATTGCAAATACTGCAGTCCCATACAGAACTTTGAAAATTGTTTTAACGAGCAGCGAACACTTACTCGTAGTCTCCTGAGAATAGTTTCTTAATCAGCTCAAAATGAGTCACTCCAAATGCGCAAGCTCAACGAGCTCGGGTGTCAGCAAACCCGCGCTTGCGCTCGGTGTCCCTTTAAAAATCTGAATCCACGGCTAATGATTTATCAAACTCTTATTATCAAGAAAATGTCAGGCGAAGGGCACCTTGCTATGCACTGACGCAAACCCAATCTTTCCCACGGAGGTATAGAAAGCTTTGCACCTACCAGAGCTAAATTCAGTCTATCTAAACTCTTTACTCTTGTTTTCGGTCTTTAACCTATCTGTTGCTGCTGAAAAATGGTAAGACAGTTTTTCTCCAAAAGTTTGTCTATACGTTTTTGAGACTTCAAAAGGGTTATGAGGAGCTGAAACGTGTCTAACTGAAGCAAATTAAAGCGAGTTTTTTTTCTTTTTGGCGATCCTACTTTCTGCGGTGTCCATGGTGCTGAAATTTAGTGCTACAGTATACTCAAGGGTCTTCTTTAGCCAGGTTTTTCCGTCGCGATTTTTTGTCGTAAAACTGTTTTTGACATGTGTTATTGCTATTACTGTTATGTTCTAATTTTGATGATTACTCTGTCTTGCTCTGAGCTTCAACCACAAAGAGTTGCTTTAAAATACGCCAATGGTCGAATTATTTGACATTTCTTTCCATTCACGGACGGATTTTTTCCTGATTAAAAAAAGTACATTTTATTTATGTTATACTCATATGTGAAATGTTACTCTCAAGCAAGATGTTAGGTGTTGTCGTTAGTATGTTGTTAATAATATTTCAATAAGCTTAACAATTTAATGCTTGTGAAAATGCCTACCGGGAAGAACAGATCTTGTACTTAGTCTGCACATAGCCTAGCAGCTTGTCTATTGCCTATAAAATCAGTGAATGTGCTTTGCTGAATGACAGGGGGGAAATGGGGCGTAAAATTAAAGAATCTTTCTGTAATGGTGAAATCGAGAACCAAGCACCGGCGGATCGTGAGCTGAAAACCAAAGACCGGAGAAAGATTGAAAAATGAGATAAAACATTCGAAAACGCTGAAATAGCCAAATGTTTTTTTTTTTGTTAAATACGTCTGCTGAAACCTGAACGCCGTCATTTCCCTTCCTATGAATGTTAGCGATACAATCAGTGAAATGTGTCTGGTTGTTGCTCGTTTGTTTTTTGTCTCAGGCTGTATCGCCCCTTGATTTAAAAAGGACCTTTCGCTCTAGGACTGTAGATTGCTGGTTTCTGATTAGCTCGCGTATTTCTTTGATGTTGGTTTGGAATATTGTCTAGTAAAAGGTAAGACTAATTACCTATGCTTTTGTTTCTCTAGGATTTTTCTGATCAAAGAGATATGACCAAACAGCCAGTTAACAGTCCTGCCAACTTTAATCCTTTATCACAAACCGAAGGAGCAGTTGGAGTTATAACAAACAAACCCGAGCATGTCCAAAACCTACCTTCCGAGGTCCAGTCACAGACGCAGCCAGCCAAGGTTTCTAAATCTCCTTCCACCGAAAGAAGAACTTTTTCTCCAGCTGAAAATAAGCCGGGCGAGACTGAGGGGATCAAGGCATGTGGGACGTTGAAAAACGCAGTCCCGGTTCCGGTCACCTCTGCAATCCGTAAGGATTCCTTGGAACCTGCGCTACCCCAAAAGGATGATTCTACAACTGTTCATGGCAAATCGATGTCTTCCCATTGTAAAGAAGTGGTACCTAATGAAAGCGTTATGAAAAGCACAGTGGAGCAAAACAGTGCCACAGGCAACTGGACAGCCATGAGCCAGACCACCGTTGTACTGGGCACAGATGGTAACACGTCTGTTCTGCCTGGCACCGTGTCCGGGGTAAGTGGTTTCAAATTATTCTTCCCATTCAGGGGGAATTCAGTGCAAAGCGGCGCACTCGTCCTGTGGATCTTGCAGAAAGGTATGACCCTGGTCTTTGGTAAAATTGTTTTTTAACCCTGAAAACGACCGTCCTTACAGTGCGTGTCAACACACCCTGTTAATTAAAACGTTCACGGCGCTTTTCACTTTTTTTGCATAGCCGTGTGTATCGGAACACCGTGAGTGAAAGATGAGCATCTGATTTGCTGAATGTTATATTGAAATGAATTTACAAGATATTAATGGTAAAGTGAGGTAACTTAAGCTACTAAAACTGTGTTCCAGCCTCTACAAGCGCTACGATTTGTTGTTATGATTTTGCACAGAATTTAAGATTAACATTTTCATTGGCTTTATGCTACGGACCATTTTAAACACTAAAATCAGATGGAATTAGTTCATTCGTTCGTTACTAAGAATTGAAGCAAAAGTCAATTTGGTTTTAAGTTTCCTACAATGAGTTGGCTTCTTTCACATAAATTACTTTTTACAACTGGTACTGGTAAATATTTATTAAAGACTTAATGCAGTAAGAGTATGTATCATTAAATACTTCCATTATCGTTTGTATTTCTCCATGAATTACCCCTCTTCATGTAATATATTGCGTTAAAATGATTGCAAGAAGCGGAAACGGACAGATATTGGAAGGGTCATATCCCTCTTTTCAGGTTTTTACCTGGTAGTTCTCTCTGCCTACAATTCCGTAATGCGCTAAGCGTGAGGATTAATTATGATAGAAAGTGACAGTGTCATTTTAGAGGGCAATTGTTTTTCGACCTATATAAAGCGCATTCGAATTTTTTATTTCTGTATTTTGATTTTTTAGAATGTAGTAGTCAGTTGAGGCAGCTCTGCGTCTCCAATCTGCAACAAAAAGGACATTATAGCCCCCGTCTCCCCCGAGATTAGTTACCATACTGCTGTTAACTGCAGACTAATGCATTACATAAAGATGCAGATAACAACCTATTGTCTCATCCCTCAGGGATGTTTCACAGAAAATTGATTGTCGATGTAACAAGAGCCTATAGCGATACTGGATCATGCATATTTATTCACGTAAATATAACCACAGAAACAACTGCTTTGAAATCATTAAGCAATTATGGCAACCAAAAACGCGTTAGAAGATACATAACGCGAAACGGTAAAAATTGCTTTCACGAAGCATTTTGTGATTTTTTCAGATAAACTTTTTTTTTCTATCAATAAAATATTGTTCCCCTTTAAGAAAGTTTTGTTTCCAAGTTGATTTCAAGTCCCGTCTTAATGCTGTACTTCAAAAGATTGTTCATTCCTTTGTTCTGATTTTATAAGTCTATGTGTGAGTCCGCGTATGGAACTTATTCAACAACTCTTTTCTTCAGGACGACGATGACGAAGAAGGAGATGAGAACAAAGCTAGAGGAAACTGGTCAAATAAACTGGATTTTATTCTCTCTATGGTTGGCTACGCTGTTGGTCTGGGTAATGTGTGGCGGTTTCCTTACCTAGCCTTTCAAAATGGAGGAGGTAAGAACTTAAAAGACCAAACTTCGATAACTTAAAAGAGTCCCTTTGCTGCATATGGACGAATCACAAAGTTATCACTTGACGGTAAAAGAGGTCTTCGCGTTTCACGCACTGGATGTTTTCTGTGGGTGAACCTGTCAGAATGCGACACACTTGGAAAGGGGAAAATCATATTGCATGTCTAATTATTTACCCCCCATGTGCTTTTCTTCAATAAACCTCCCCCCCCCCCCAAAAAAAGATACAACTTTTTCAATTTTCAATTTGTCATGTTCACATCAACCGCAGTGGTTACTGGTCAGCTGTCACGATTTAGGGAATTCGTGACAAATCAACATACGGTTTCCATTTAACACCAAATCTTGAATAAAATCTTTATTTAAAATAAACGTCATTTGGGTTTAAACACAGTTTTGAAAAAAAGTTTTGTTGGGTCCAACAAAGGAGACACGATCCGGGTGTGTATGAAGCAGGCACTACTGATAAACCGTAAGAATATTCTTGGGTTCCTTTATTTATTTATTGTTTAAGCAGGCAGTTCGTACTTCTAGATTTGATAATCATGTCTAAAGCAGATATCAATCGCTCTCAGCTCTGGTCAGGCTGCCCGGAGCTGGCTCTGCCCTCCACGTTCCAGGCGCGTAGCAGTTAGTCATTTTTTCATTATTCTAGCAGGATAGTTAAGAAAATTATGTTAGTAAATTATTTACACAGTAAAAGCAAATTCATGAAATTAGATAAATGTTTTATCCTTCAGTTTCTAGACACTTTTTTTGTACGATACCTCTTTGCTGGTTAGTAAAACTTTAACCTCTAATGGGTGTCATGTTAGTTTTCAGTTTCCCCTTTCATGTAGTATGACATTATTTCATTTATTTATATTTGTGTATTCAAATAATAAAATGTGTTCAGTTTTTCAGATTTTCTTACACATTAAAGTGTAGTATATGTGAATTTTACATTTTTAAAGTACTGTACGTTCGCAACAGAGCAACTGCTTGAGATCTTCTGTGTTAAAAGTATTAGATACTTTTAGATTAGTAGACAGTATTCTCTTAAAAAGTGTAGATGAAACTAATAACATTAATTCAATGCGTAATTCAGAGACTTACTGTACGTTCAATACTATCATTCCTTGAACCAATTAAAGAGTGGAGTGGTCACCTATTTGTTTTTATAAGTAAAAATAGAATGATCAAATTTTCTTTAAAATTTTAAATAAGTTCAGTATTCATTATGATTTAACCAAATCATTTTGTGGTTAATGCTTAAAGGTAAACGTTACGATTTTGTTTCTATAATAATTATGACATGTTTTAGTATGAATATTGGAATGGCATAGAACTTTTTCTGCCTACAGTACAGGTAAGCCTTAAATTGTAAACTAGGTGTCTTCACTGCCACGTTTTGCTTTCCAGACACTGTAGATAGCGCATTTCCAAATAGAATCCCGATTTTGAGCACTCAGGTTTTAGCGGGTATTTAAAAATTGATTTGTTGCGGATCTATGCATTTATCCCATAAATTAAAGAAAAATGCTTAATCCACCTAACTCTGCTTTCTACTGTCGCTCAGGCTAAAAACAAACGTACCTGTATTGCACTTAAAACGTGTATACTGCCTCAGTTGAGACAGCAGTATAATTGTTTTTTGATTATTCCGATATTATTTTGTCGATTATAACAACAAGGGCATTTAATGTGTTTTTTAGAGTTCGCATTTCCTTCCCTCAAAAGCACCCTTGGGGATACAGCACTGGATTGCAACGAAGGAACGTTAAGAAAACTTCGGGAGGGAAATCCTCACGTTTCTTATAAAAAGTCATTTTCAGTTCCGTTTAATGCATCTTTATTTATCGGGATCATTTCTCTTTGAAAGATAAGTCTTTAACCCTCATAAATGTGGCAACAAAGACTCCCTAGTCACGAATTCGAAATTATCATACAAAACGTGTGCACGCATTTTGCCTTTTGGAAAAATGTCGAATATGGTGTTTGTTCACACTGCGTGTCGCTCTCCCTGTAGGTGCTTTTTTAATACCTTACCTGATAATGCTGGCCCTCGCTGGAATCCCCATATTTTTATTGGAAGTATCTCTGGGACAGTTTGCAAGCCAGGGCCCTGTTTCTGTATGGAAAGCCATTCCAGCGCTGCAAGGTAAAGTTCTATTGGAAACTCGCCTACTGTTTGTTGGAGTTTGTATGGGTTACCTCCCACAGTCCAAACACATAGTAGCAGGCCCACTGGACTCGTTGCTTGTTGGCGGACTGCGATGCGATGGACTGGCCAGACAACCCGGGTTGTACCCTGGCTCGCCGCCGGTGGCTGCCGGGATAGGTTCCAGTTCGCCCGCGACCCCGAATAAGAAGAAGCGGTTGAAAATTGACTGAACACACTGTTACTTAGACTCGCACTTTGTAACAGTCCCCTCCTGTACTGCACATCTGTAGTCATATCTAGCAGTATTTTGGGCGATACAGATTATGACATAGTTGCCTTAATACATGTTAAATATTAGTTCAGTTACATTTTAAGTATTGCGGTGCTATTGGTCTATCCTTTGTTGTAAGGTTAAGAACAAAACACATTTTTTAAACGTTTTATCACAGTATATGCATCGTTTTTTATTGTTTCTATCATAAGGTAAGTTAATACGATAATTATATTTGTTAATCCGTTTTTAAGTATGGTTGTAGTCTTACAGTTATCAGTTTACGGGCATCTTATGCTGACAATTTCTTATTTATCTTTTCATACCTTGCTTACATAGCAACAAAATTAAACATTTTTGCACAGTCCCGCAGCGAAACAAAACAGTCCCTAATTACCGCCAACACGATTGAACTAAAGCCATTTTACGAATGCATTTTATGATTTGTACGAAACGACGTGGCCTGGTTTCTGTTGCATTTTTCAACGACTATTCTCCGTTTAAAACAAATAAAACCATATTTGTTTTATGTCTTCGTAGGTTGTGGGATCGCAATGTTGATTATTTCTGTCTTAATAGCCATATACTACAATATAATTATGTGTTGGACACTTTACTACCTGTTCGCTTCGCTGAAGAACCCACTTCCGTGGGCTACGTGCAAAAATCTGTGGAACACTCCAGATTGTAAAGACAAGGACATGTTAGACTTGGGTAAGAGCAAGGAAAAAACTGAGCCACCGGGAATGAGTTCACACAATTATGATCAATTTTATACATTTATCAAAGTGAAAACAGCGCATTGGGTCCGCGGTAGTCTCTGACTAAATGCCTCAACATTGATATTTGTGTTTACGAAATCCTAATAGCACTAAAAATAATTAACGCAATATGTGGGTTTTCTCTCTAATGCGCAGTATTACAATGTTCAACCTGAACCAGGCAATTTGACTTGCAAGTCAAATTTTGCATCGGCAAAACATTTTCTCGGAAATGTTAGAAATTAGACTACATTTATGTTACACCAAATTAACAAAATGAGACTTCTGAATTCATATCTGAAATATGTACGGTGTATATTTAAAACGTTGACTGCAGTAAAGTTGTTGCTAGACTATTTTAACATTTTCCTTCATGCCACTCCTTCTCACTTATTCTTAAGACATGAGAACCGAAGAAACAGATTAAATTAATCATGCTTCATTATGTTAGAAAATTCACGAACCTAATAGTTTAACATGTTTCATCATCTGAAGCGCAATTTAAATAAAGTTTGAAGTAGCTGAGCGTACAAGCCCCGAGGATAAAAATGCGGCTACTGTGATACAGTACTGATTGAAAACGCCCCCTTGTGGTGGACTACAGAAATACTTTGATTTTCAGTTGCTGGAGTTGTCGCAGCAGCGTGTCAATTGCTGTACAGAAGTTAGAATTGAGCTGTGCCCCAAATCTTTTTTCATGAGTATTTTTTTAAACACAGAGATTTGATCATTTTGTTACTTTGTAATTTTAGAGTTCAGCTTGCACTTTCTATTTTTATTTTACCCTAGCTAAAATGATTAGTAGAAGAATACAATACACACTACCCTTCTTCTTTATCCTTATGTTCCTCAGTGCATAAAACAAGATTGTTTAATAATGTATGTAATAATAATAGGAAGTGAGAGGCTAAATCCTTATATCCGAGATGTTGCATGGAACAGTTCCAACACTACGGTACTACATTGGAATGCAGGTATCTCATGCAGAAGGGGCTAAACTGCTGCCTGAGATAGCATGAGACTATACCTGTGCATAGATATAACAGCCCACTGTATTGCAGATGTGAACCTTCTCAGTGAGCATGTTGGTTAACAAGGCAGATGAGGAAAGAATCAAGACAGACGTTTTGCTGCTTGATGAGGTCTGCAAAGTGTTTTTTTTTTCTGGAAGCCCCAAAAGATTGTCTGGTTTAACATACTCTTACACTCAATCATCAGTGCAACAATGTAGTAAATTAGCATGTAAGTAACCAAAGGTACATGCTGTATGTGTCTAAACAATGCCCAATTGTACCCTCGTTCATCAGCTGTGTACACAGTATTGCCTAGAAGTCCTTCCTCCAAGCAGCTGACTTTGCAGACTACTTTCCAGAAGGTGCAAAACAGGGGCAGATAGAGAGATAGGTATCCTCTGGATATGTAAGCACTGTCCGATGACACAGTGCTGAGAATTGATCTAAGAGTCTGGTAACAAAGAAAAGTGACGGAATTAGGGGTTTTACATTGCGAATGGTCGTGGTAAAAGAGAGGAGCCTTAGTCTACACTCCCTGAGATGTGTGTCCTTGGTCATTCAGACAACCAGAGTCTGAGTCCAGATATCCAGGAAAGTGTTTACAACTGAATATACTTCCTATGCAATCCATTTTATTTGTTTTGCACGAGTGATTGCATTCCATTGCGTTCAAAGCAGGAACATGCTTTTAGTTTAGTGGGCCAGTTCAGACACATGCCAGAGGAGGGCACTATTGTGTGGGTAGAGCTGGCCTGCAAACGCTCCCAGAAGCCCCTGGAGAGATGTACTGTATGGACAAGGTGATATTGGCTGATTATTAAAGCCAGAGGTTAAACCAGCTGCAGGTTAAAAGTGGGCTGAGGAAGGGGTTAAACCAGCAGCTAATTTCCTCAGTATGAATACCACCTGCAATGGCTAATTAAGTATACACCTTTGTATCCTTAATTAATCACGTGTTAGTTTCAAGAGAGTTTTTTGTTTTTTGTTTGGAGCTGACACTGCAAGAAGGAAATTGTCTTCTTTGTCCTGACTTAACCTACTTTTGATGTTGCTTTTATTTTGAGACCTGATGTTGCCTGTAAAAAAGTGGCCTGAGGAAGTTTTTTTTTTTTGCGCCTACAAACAAACCCAGGTGGTTTCCTGCAAGGCAGAGCTGTGTGTTCTGCCAAACTGCAAATGGAAACTTTTGTTTTGCTTTCCTAGGAAAACAAAGACGAAAAGTATTTAATTTTGGAGAAAACCCCTTGGCTGTTCACTGCGTACTTGCTTGCTCCCAGTTTATAAACACCATTTACTGTTATGTTTGAAAACTACTATTTATTTGGATGTTTTTTAACTTATTTTATGAAAAAGCCAAAACAAATACAGCTGAGAAAAAGTCTTCTCAATACAAATTAAGCCGAACGTCCACAGTTATCTTTTTGTTTTATATGATGGATAATTGAACTAGTAAAATGTTCATATTCCTATTTATATATTAACCTAAAACATTTATGTATGCAGAATATAACAGCAAAGGTGTGAAGCACCTTCAGTTTTAGGTATATCAAATGTGGTAATGTGTTTATGTAATATGTACATTAATGGATACAGTAAATACCACTATATTTAATTTTGTCTTCTCAGACCAAGAAAACTCTTTAAGGTTCAATAATATTGATAATAAAAATGAATCAGAGCTAAATGTGTTGTTATACACTTAAGTTATATTGTCTTTAACAAAGATAATACCCAGTGCTTGGGTATCATAAAGTGAAAAGCTATAATTCCCATGTTACATCACCCACTTACAAAGTCTTTGTGCCCCACAAACGAAAGCATCAAACCCTTGTTCTATTACACCTATCAATTATAGCTTCCGCAAGAAAATGTTAAACTTTCCACAGGTTGTTGTAGTTCAAAGCATTCCTCAGTACAGAGTGCTGCACCTTAAGTCTGCTTTCTACTGAGCTTAAACCAGTGCTCTGTATCTGTAAATGAGACATGTAAATGTGAAAGATTGCTGGTTTTAGCCAATTTAATTTTTTATATTCTTTGTTGGACATTTATCAATATTAAAACAGAGAGCTGCATCAGTGTGGGAGCTGCAGAGGAACTAAGAGGTTAATTCCATGCTTAAAAGTAAAAAGAAATATAATTTTCAGCAAGGAATTAATCTGTATTATTTTGTATTTAACAATGATTCCATTTTGAAAAGCAACCAGACAATCACATCACGTTCCAGTGTCTGTTCAATCCACACTTTTACTCTGCACTTCATCTGTATTCTAATTTTCCTCTTTCTTGTGTAAACAGATGCCTGTGTGTTGCGAGATAAGAACATCACCTCCATAAAAAACACAACCTTTTGTATGTCTGCGAATGCCATCGGTAATCTGACCAAATTAACCAATTTAACATCTGAAAACAAAACATTTGTCAGCCCTAGTGAAGAATACTTCAAGTAAGTAGATATTAATTGTTGGGATAACTCAGTTTTTCACATTGCTGGAAAAAGAATTGATTATGAATTAAGATTGTCTCAATTATTACTACCAACGTTTTTACTACAATTATTTTTTTAAATTAATTCACTTCTACCTCTCTTTGTCATGTTTTATATCCATGCACATTATATTGCTGCTTGACAAATTTCAATATGATTAATTTAACTACTATTTCAGCTTTTTTTTTTAAAAATGTGCATTTTATTTGAAAGTATTTGTTTTTTATATCTCCAAAGTGCAGAAACATAAAGGCTGTTTTTTTGCAGGTACAATGTATTGCACATTTCAAAAGGAATTGAATATCCAGGGGACATTCGGTGGCCTTTAGCCCTGTGTTTGTTTCTGGCTTGGGTCATTGTCTATGCATCTTTGGCAAAAGGAATTAAGTCATCAGGGAAAGTAAGCTGGTCTTTTTTTCACTTTTATCTGTGAGACAGAATTGAGAGAAATAAGAAGTCCCAGTGTGTCAGTGGTTCATACTGTTGTGTATATGTTCTTTATATATTGAGGTACAATTGAAAAGTCATCTTGATAATGCATTGTGTTCTGAAAAGTCCCAGTTAATCAATTAATCAGTGCTTTAAAATCATCATATCCTGTGCTATATATTAACTAGAGCCTAAATGCAATGAATATGTTTATTATTGATGTAAAAAAATCTAATTTGCAATCAGGACCTGGTCAAGAGGCTTACAGCATAGGTACACAGAAATCAAAGCAGTGCAACAAAGAAAATAACTTTCTATAAAACACACATTAGACAAAATGGCAGTGTTAACATTTGCAAGTGTCAAGCAGAATATATTTAATCATACAATCAAAAATCTCCCCAGATACAGACTCATTAGCAGAAGCAAATTAACAAGACTTGAACCCATTTCTGACAGTTGTACTTGAGAGGCTCACTTGATAAAAACACATCTTATATTGTTGTATCATAAAGAGAACTACAATAAGTTAGAGATACAAAGGTGTTTTCCCAATTGAAATATCTGTAAAGAAGAAGAAGAATTATCTTATGTTTTTCTTCCCAAATGGTTTTAAAGCACTTTACACATAAGATGGACCCTCTTCATCCTCTCCTGCATTGCAGTCCTTACCCTGTCAGCAAGCAGCAGACCTTAAGCATCAGCTAAAGCACTATGCAATAGATCACCTGGAGAAGTGAAAACTTGCTCCACCAGTTGAATTAAAGGAGAACTTTGGACAGAACAGTGCTAACCCAGTGGACATTAGCCAAGACACTGGGCTAACACCATGCCATGCCAGGTTAGGTTAATTGTCCAGTGAAGCACTTGTCTCATATGCAGAGAGGGTCAATCAAAGATCACAATGGTGAGTGGCACCAGTGATGCATTTTATGGCATATACAGATGGTATATACAGTATAAGACATCAAGCCCACAAGGGAGAGTATGGATGTATACTTAGAGGAAAGTACTAGACAGGCATCTCAACCTTGGTTTCTGCAGAGCCTGGTGTCTTTGGTGAGATCATTACTATGAAATCTATTAAATGTATATCACTACTGGAATGACTCAGTAGTTGAGAGTTAGTTAAGGGTGTTCTTTAAACTGCATTAGATGGTCTTGCGGTTTTTCATATCGCCACTAGAGGGACCACACGTCACATTTTGTGATATAATTGGAAAACGCTGCCATCTATTGGTTTGAAATGTAATAGTAGACTTAATTTCACGCCCTCGTGTGATTTGTTAATAAACACTTAGTTGTAATGAATTATATGTCATTTTGTTCCAGGTTGTGTATTTTACAGCTACATTCCCTTACGTGGTGCTGGTTATTCTTCTTATCAGAGGAGTCACTCTCCCAGGAGCGGGGTCTGGCATCCTTTACTTTATAACACCCAAATGGGAGAAGCTCAATGATGCTAAGGTAGATGAAAACCACTTATGCCTGCTTTGTTGTAACCCTGTACTTTGATTGAATTATTGGATAATGCCAAACAAAACGTTCATGTTATTGGAAGAATAGTGGAAAAACAATAGGATTTGTCGATTAGGTCTGGCAACAAAATTCTCCACCTGAAGTGTTATTTGTAAAAACATCCAACACCTGCAGTCTACAAACTTAGAGTGAAAAGCCTTTAAGGGTTAAACTTATGAAATTCTTAATGGCGTCTTCATAAATCTTCAATCATTCCATTATTCCATTTAATCTTTCCATATTCTCCCTCATACCCAGGTTGTGTCCCTGATGGCTTCAGACTGAAATTGTCTTCCACATAGATAGAAGAACTTACTGTCTTCTGCAGTTGTTAAAGGCTTTATTATAGTATTTTCCAGAGTTTCTGTGTGTTTTACCAATGGTTGTAAAATGTTGGAGCAAATAATTAATAATCCCTGTTGAACGACATTTCCACACACTAACATCAAACGTAACACTGCTGTAAACAAGAGCATTGCTCTCCCTATATTGCAGCTACTTGTGGTTTTAAGCTACAGTAGTACACTGTGTATTAATGAATGAATAAATCATAATAGTGCATTGCAAGAAAAACAGGAGACTGCTGAGAAACTCCAAGGCCAAACAGTGGGGCAATGAGTTATGAGACTCTGGAGTACTGTACTCCAACAGGAAGCATTAATTAATTCACTGTTATCATCTCCCATTGCATTCACGTCCCTCCTTGTTTGTTATGTGATCTGCTAAAACTGTGTTTTGTTACTAGGTGTGGAAGGATGCTGCTACTCAAATTTTCTTCTCCCTATCTGCAGCCTGGGGTGGATTAATCACTCTCTCATCCTACAACAAATTCCACAATAACTGTTACAGGTGAGCCAGACATCTTCCCCCCATATGAAAACTTAACAGTGTTCTCCTTTGTTTTCTATAGATGCTTAAACTTTCATTTCACTGTGTATTTGACTGCTGTTTTGTGTCAACACCTAATTTGTGTACTGTGTGTATGCTTGGTTGGCGTTATTGCTGTTTATTATGTTTCTTGTCAGGCAAATAGACTGTATTAGTAAAGAACTTAATCTCTTTAGGATTTATGATTGACACTAAGCACTCGGAGGATGTAAATGACTATCTCATAAAATAAAGTGTGTATAAGAGAATTTAAGATAATAGATAGCATATTTCTTATTTTCTTCTGTTTGTATGCATTTTCACTTTTATATTATCTTTCTAAGACATTGTTAGGAGCAAATAAGAATTGAATGGTTATTTCCTGAAGAAGGAATCGCAAAAAATAACAAATATGCCTAAAGATAGACAACAGGGAACAGATTATGAAAACTGTTTCATTACGGAGTTCTTTCAGCTCTGAGCAATGCTGTGAGATGCTGTGATGTGAAGAGAGTTATTGAAAAATAAATTTGACTTGATTTTACTGTATTTAATATTGTGGGTGTCATGGATTTCCCTATCTTGGAAATACTCTGGAAATTTGTAGATATTGAACAGTATTTTATTTCATTTTCCTTAAAGCCACAGGTCAAAGGTACTAATTGTAGCAGCTGAGAATATTTATCAGCATTTCATAAAGCATTTTGGACAAGAATGCTTATGTCATGTGTAATGAGACCTCTTAATATTTTGGATGTTGTTTTATACATGATGCTGTTTTCCATCATATTAATTACTTGTTAATCATCATATGCCCTCCAGGGAAGATGAAAACATGCTGAGGCAGAATACATTTCCTTGCCTACTGAATGGGATAAATAATACCCACATACTGAGAGTTGTGTCAAAGATTATTGTCTTCATGGGGATAACAAATTTGGTTAAATTCTTGATAATATTTTAACTTCATTCTGTATTAATAATATGCAATGTGAAAACATGAATTATTTCAAACTGCCAGCAGTCTCAAAGACAAATGAAGTTATAGTGTTACGTACCTAAGGTAAGATTTGTGTTTTTTAATTGAAGTAAGTGCAGATGTTCTCTAGAGGGCGCTAGTGGATTAATCGACATCTCACCGGTGTCCACAGTAAAGCAGTTTATTCGCTCTTATTTATGAAAACTCATTCCATGTATTTTCTTAGAATGCATAAATTTTTGCGTTATGGCAACCTGACACTCAATAAAATGAACTTCTTTTATTATTACTACTTCTGAAATTTCTTGCAGCAGTTGATGTTGATGAAGTTTTTAGCATCATTCAGAGCTACAGGGTGATGAGGACACGTCATGAAAAGCAGGGATCATTATTATTGTAAGGCTGCAAAGTAATGATCATATTGGCTGACTTGCAAAGTAGTTCCTTTCCTTCTTCTCTTTCTTCTTCCTGTTATCCAGGGATACAATAATAGTGACGTGTACAAACAGTGCAACCAGCATCTTCGCAGGGTTTGTCATTTTCTCAGTCATTGGATTCATGGCACATGTGCTGAAAGTGCCTATTGACAGAGTTGCTGATGAAGGTAAAGAGGAAAAGATAGAATGCTGCTTTTAAACCTATTTGAGCACTAAATGGATACCTAAGCGTTAATACTTTTTTTGATGTTGTGAAGTGAAATATTAGCATTTTTCTGCAAAAGTACTACCATGGTATTTTGGAGACAGAATTAATGCTAGATGATAAACAGGATAAATAAAAAATACAGTGCATTTAAAATGCAAACAAAATGTCAATGAAGTCACTGTTTTTGTAGTTGCTTCCTTTGAAACATATTTTGATATGGATTTTACAGTCATAGTGAAAGTAAGATACATATTCACTGCATTCAGATTTAAAACAGAACTCTCAAAATCTAAAAGCAGCTTTATATTTAATTGACATTTAAAACCCACATGTGCAAGAACAGTAAAGTGCTTGTGCTCACACATCTAGCTTTTTAAGCATGTCATGTATAGAATTTATTATTTAGTTATTGGGGATCTCATTGTGTCTTTTGGATGGATAGTATGTACTGTGTTCTCAGAGACTGTATGATGTATTTAGGTTGCCATAAATAATACATAAAGCAATCGTGGCACAGGATAATATATGTTTATGTTCTTTCAGGACCTGGTATTGCCTTTGTTGTTTATCCAGAAGCCTTGACTAGGCTTCCTGTCTCTCCATTTTGGGCCATCATTTTCTTCTTGATGTTGTTAACCCTTGGACTGGACACAATGGTAATTGATTTGAAACTCTTCATGTGAATCATAAGAATACTAAGTTAACGGAAGTTGGGTCATTCCACGCTCACCCAACTAGTATGACTGTGGCGACAAATAGCAATCTGTAATACCCTGCAAACATACATACCCTGCAGAAAATTTAACCCTGGCTTAAACAGTTAAAACAATACACTTTATTCAGGTCACTTGCTGTTGTATGATTTTTAAATTCTCCTGAATCTTTGTATCCCACATAACTTTTACCCAGGTGTTCAGAAAAATAATCTAACTTTTTTTCATTAAATAATACACAGATTTAGAAAACCTCAGCATAAACAGTTTCTTAATTAACCAGTTCTTTCACCAGTTATTTTTTAATCTGATAAAGGCAATGATTGATATAGACAATGCCTGAAAAGTTAATGGACAAGAACCTTTGATTAAAGTGATTTGCTGGCAGTTGCACGTGAAGGGGCTCCACAGTCTGTCTGTTGTTTAAAGTTTAAGTTAAATGGCACCACTAAAGGTGACTTTGTGATAAAGACGGAATTTGATTGAAACATCCAAGATGAAGCCCGAGTGTACAGTCCAATATTCTGGCCAATCAGCTAAGGGCACTCCATTGCCTTCCTGTTAACCTAGTTCAACTGTTAACCTCAGAGACCAGGAAGGGGGAGAGCAGACTGTAAAAGATGTCAGTGCTTCTTGCTGGACTGACACTGCTGATTACATTTAATCAACAACCCATCCCTGGGTGTGAAGGCTTTAATTAGCAGAATTTGCAGCATATGTAACACTTCCACCGCCAGCAGAGGTGGTCTCACGGATTATTAAATTTGGCGATTTTTGTGTGAAACCTCCCACTGGCATTTAAGTGCTCACCATGGACTCTGGCAATGAGACATTTCTCCCTGAAAGATGACAGGCCCTTCTTGCTGCAGTGAAGTAATGAAGAAAGCTGCATTATTTACGGTAATTTAGTCAGAGTAAAGCAACTCTGTAATCACACTTCTTTTAATTACAATCCTCCTTAATTGGCTGTTACCTGTCAGCTTGAATAGAATTTTGTCATTTTCTGTGTGCATGATGAGACCAAAAAATCGGGAAAACACAGTGGTTGTTTTTGGCTGTATGCAGTATACATATCTGCAAAAATGGAAGACAAAAATGAAATGATCTAACCTGATAAAAGTCCTTTGACTCTGTCTTCGATCACTCTATATTTTGTTTGCTATAGTGAAAATAGTATAACTTCAGTTTCTGTATGGTGTATGTTTTCAGAAGGAGAAGCTCGTCGAAGGTTCCTTTCATGCACATTATCTGCTATGCACTTTCATGATGGATCTCTTGAGTGTTCTGTCTGCTCTGTAATCAGCTGTCTGTAACTCTGTAACTGATTCTTTTTCATTTCAGTTTGCCACAATTGAGACAATTGTGACATCAGTGTCTGATGAGTTTCCTAAGTACCTGCGCACACACAAACCTATCTTCACTTTGGTGTGCTGTATCTGCTTTTTTGTGTTGGGGTTTCCCATGATAACAGAGGTAGGCAGTATGTTTTGGCATACAGGAATACCTGAAGGGCATAATCCCTTTGTTGAGAAATTCTGAAAGACAGATGGAAAACCAGTATGGTTGTTGGGTTGTTTTTAATTGCTTAAAATAAATCTGAACGACATGGTTTATATAGTGGAGTGTATATTACAATGCCATTGGCTCTATCATCAACATCCATGCATCATGTGTAAAAAAACACTTATCTTGTTACTGACATTGACATATTGATGACCTAAGAACTTGTTCAGACATTCCACACATTGCGTGTCAAGCAAGTATGAACAGAAATGAAGTCTTCTGGGGGGGTCAAAACTAGTGAGTCTGCCTAGTAGGGAGTATTATTAAAACTTACAGTGAAAAACTGCTTCCCAGTTCTGGAATATCTATTAATCCCTCTGATTCAGAGAATGTTTAATAATAGATGTCTACTGCGCAAAGCAGATATTCTGTACAGTATGTAGGGTACTGATTAGAAGGGGTATGCCTGTAAGGCTTTTCAAAGCAATAAAGCCAACTCATTCAAACAGGGCTATACTAAAGCTCAAAAGTAACACAATAATGAGAATGATTATTTAACACATCTGATAGCAACAGATATCTTAAATATTGTATGTAATTAAAAGTAATATAATATTGAAGTGCTCTTTTTCTCTTTTGTATGTCTTTTGTAATACAATGTTATTGTCTTTCTGTTTTCATGGACAGAGTGGTATGTACATGTTGCAGCTAGTGGATACATATGCTGCCTCATATTCGCTTGTAATCATCGCCATTTTTGAATTGGTTGGAATTTCATATATATATGGTAAGACATAAAATAGAGATGTAAAACATCCAAAGCACTTATAGCCTATATGATTACTTATGTCCATTTTTGCATTTTTGAAAGCTGAGCTGCTTTGTTATATTGTCTCAAAATCTGGTGCCAAAAAGATGGGAGACTACTCTTTTGAGACCACTAGGTGGCTCTATTACCTTTACTGTGGATCTTCATGTCCACTTAAATTCCCTGTTGTTATTAACCGAAGGCAACTTTAATTAGGCTCCCACTGTGGAGATTCAGATAAATGGGGTCCCTGCATTTCTCAAGAAAATAATAAATACTGGGAACCAATACTGTGAACCAACAGTACTGTTTGTTTCAGAGGGAAGGAAATCTCTGTGTAATGGTGTAGTTACAAAAATGTGAAATTATGTCATTACGTGTGCTAACACACTCATAAATGAATTATCAGTTGAGCACTGGTGTTACTGACTATTAAGTTTCCCCGAATATCATTTTAGGGTTGCAGAGATTCTGTGAAGACATTGAAATGATGATTGGTTTTCAACCAAACAAGTTCTGGAGAATTTGCTGGGCTTTTGTCACTCCAACAATTCTTACAGTATGTATCAGTGTATTTGTCTTGATTTGTTCCTTAAAATGATAAGACTTAATTTCATATTTCATTGTGAATAACTTTGCCTGCCTAATATCTGTGAAAAAAATATGAAATGTTGTATTATTTGAAAAATATGTAAAGAAAAATTACAAAATACAAATAAAAAATGTGCATTTTAGGAAATGCATAGAGACTATGTTTTCGTCTGTAACTGCACACTGTTTTGCTTATGTAGGAAATCACTATGTTAGGCATGACTAGGTTATGGTCTGTGGTTTTGACTAATACGTGCCTCAGAATAAAATATCTTCTAAGTATTGGAAAAGAAGGGAATCAGTGTAATAGTTAAATGTGGGTGATTTATTGCTGTTTAAACATTAAATGACATCCCATGCATCAGTGTTATTACAACTGACTCTGCTATCAATGACCTTGGGATTATTATAAACTACTTATAGGTACAGCGTGCTGGCAACATATTAGTTAAAGATGAGTAAGAGAGCCTGTTATCGTTTGCTTTCAGTTCATTCTGTGCTTGAGCTTCTACCAGTGGAAGGTTATGACCTATGAAGACTACACGTATCCTACCTGGTCCATGGTTATGGGGTGGCTGATGGTTGTGTGTTCTGTCATCTGGATTCCCATTATGTTTGTGATTAAAATGCATCTAGCTCCTGGCTCTTTCATTGAGGTAAGGAAATAGAATGGAATTGTCGCTGTAGTCTTTACACATGAGAAACAAATGGTTCTTCAGGCTCCACAATTAATAGAATCAATAGCCTGATCTCTCTTATTAAATTGAAGTGGAGGGTACTGGGTTAGCATTAATTTGTATATTACAGAGGTAGTCCAGTGGGCACATTTAAATACACTGATTAATCTGTAAAAATGGCCTTCAGCAAGCACAGCATGCTGTTTGTGCATGTTGAAATTTCCTAAGCCACTTGACAAGAGAGTATCAAACAGAAAAGGAAAAGCAGATTGTTCTGGCACATTCAATGAAGCGCTTGCAGCACCGTGTTTGGAATAGCAAAATATGTATGTTTTTTCTGCTGCAAAGAAACTAAACAAACATGATCTGTTTGGAAGACATTATAACTTATAAGGTATAATGAGCTAGGATGAAAAGGATAGAACTTTTAGAGCGTGCAGAAAAAGCCTATGGACCTTTTTAAATCGATAAATGCATGCAATGAATATTCTCTGCTGGATCATTTCATTATCTAAAAAGCAAATACTGGGCTTTTGCTGGATATTCATCTTTATTGATGATCAATTAGCAAAGTGCAATGTGAAAGAGTTGCAGCAGCTAAACATGGAACTAACGGAAGTATATCAAAGTAATTGTGCTAGATGTAAAGAGGAATGTTTTCTAAATGGAACTTGGGTTTAAAAGTAGTTTTTGAAAATCACTGCAAAAAAACACATCTATTTTTTATTCATGCACTTTTTGCAAGTAATATAACTTGATTAAACAAATAAAAGGCTAGGCTTGAAAAGATAACATATGTTTATCCCATGAGCATCTGTGTGAAACACCTGCCTCCTGCTGCATGTAAATGAAGGATACAGAGGTAGGAACCTTGGTCAAGTGGGGTTCATGGGATGTGTGTTTTGCAAAATGTTGAATTAACCATCCAATTCCATTATCAATAAAAAAATAATGAATCCTCTCAATTTTTCAGAGGCTTAAGTTGGTCTGCTCCCCACAACCAGACTGGGGTCCCTTCTTGTCCAAACACCGCGGAGAACGTTACAAGAACATGATCGATCCGCTGGGAACCAACTCTCTGGGACTCAAACTACCACCAAAGGATTTTGAGCTTGGATCTCAGTTGCAATAACTGTTGTTGTCATATATATATATACACACACAGTATATGACTCGGCACTATCTGTCCTATGGTATCCCCATTACTCCTTCCTATTATAGTTCCCTTTCCGACTGCAGGATGTTACTTTCCAAAGTGTCCTGTAGTCTGGACCATGTGCCACTTTGCTTTCTAGAACTCTTCATCTCTGTGGCTTCCATAAGTAAACCAAGCTTTTGCCTAACGTGCACATCTAGTGTTGATGCATTATCTTTTCAGTGAGGTCTGAAAAACCAGACAGTGTGCTAATTTAGAGTAATCTGGCTTTAGGCATAGATCTAAGGCTAGATTTAATGCACCTCTAACATATGTTTCTTTTTCCAACTTGTAACATAACTGGTACAAACTGCAAGTTTATATGCCCTGTTATAATTCATTGACCTCTATAAAATGCTAGAAAAAGAAAACTGACATTTCTAAGTACCTGTTTATGGGCTAAACAGTATTTTAATTTTATTTTAAAAAGAACAAAAAGGAGTAAACTCTTTATGGTATTACTAGTGGAGTCCACTTGCAGTTTCATTTTTAACTTTTAATTTATTACCCCATTATCTTAACTTTCACCTCATAATTTTTCACAATTTGTTCATTTAACTTGTTATACATTCTTATACTATCACATATTTAATTAAAAATCTGTAATTTGTGCCTACTTCTATACTATGACCATATTATTTTTTCTCTGTGCTCCGTTTTCCATAATTATTTGTTTTAATATTAAGTTTTAATTACAGTAGCCCTATTCTTGAATACTTCTGCATTGTAGAGTCTAGATGTATTTTTCTCTCTTCACTAAAGGGGAAATGAACTGTGCCCCACATCTATATATAAACTTTAGAATACATATTCTCTCTTATGCTAGTTTAAGATAGATGAATTGTCATTGAGATTTTAATTCACAATATCTAATTAAAACCACTATTTCCTCCTTTACAAAAACAAAAAAAGCCACTTACCATACTGTGCTGAAAAATTGCACTTTGCAATTTTAAATATATTTGACAGCCATATATGTGTACATAAAAGTATATACAATATTTACTGAGAAACCATATATGTTGTGATTTATGAAATTTGTGATATAATTCCCCCTTACAAGTTAATGTAGATATTCCCAGTAGGTTTAGAGCAATGAGTAAGAGAGGATCTGTATAACTCTAATTTGCAAATTGTCTATTTAATTGTAACTTGTATAAAATGACACTTTTTAAAAAGTGATCAGTGTTCATGTAGTGTGTGCTAGTGTTGTCATGTCCCTATGAGTATCTTATGAAACTGTAGAGATGGTGAGAATAGAAATAGTTTAGAAACAACTTTTTCTGAAACTGTTATAGTTTGAATTCCACTAGTGGACTTCTGGGGACTGCTTTGCCATTGAATTGTCTGTCTTCATGTTACAGGGTCTCAGGTAAACTTAATTTCAGAAACTGCATTTCTAGATGTAGTATAGTGCCATCACCATTTAGGGAAATATGGAATGCTATGACTTATCTGATTTCACCTATTGCTTTCTGAGAATTTAAAAACATGCATTCACCTCATTAAAAAATGAAAAGAAAGAAATCACAACAATCAAACAAATGATGCTACCATCAAAAATAGCTCTAGCTTCTTGTGGTCTGTTTGGGGGGAAAAGTCTCTTATCTTTTGGAAGCCATCATGGTCATTTTGTTTACGAAGAATGCTTTCATTATAAGCAGGTTAATGTTCATGCCAAAAGCTGTAACAGAAATTTCAAGGCATATGTAGTTAACCAGTTATTACCACATTTCTGTGTGCTGTTGAAACTAAACCTAACTTGGATGTCCTTTACCTATATGCTTATCTTCTTAATGGAACCAGTCATCCTTTGATTTAAATGCTTTTTACTCTTGAAGCTAAAGTTGTTTAGTGGATACACAATAATGTTAGTTAAAATAACATTTCTAAACCTCACAGCTGAAGAACCTGTCAAGGAAACAGAACAAAAGCATTCCACAATAATTTAACAGCATGATGTAACAGTAGCAAAAACTGGTTTTATAAAGCATTGAATCTGAACAGATGTTCTGCTCTTTGTAAAGAAGATGGGGGGAAAAAGCAAGAAAATATATTCCCTGTTGCTTTCGTATTTGTAGTGAAGTGTGGCTTTTACAACATTTCATATAAATTCAGTGTGTTTCCTTTGGGTGTGTAGATGTGCCTTGCTCCTGCTGGGTTCATGAATAATCTGTTGTTATTTTTACATTTTTCATAAAGTATTAGTACATCTGGAAATGCACTGATTTATTTTATTGTGCATTTAATGCTCTTTTCTAGGCATATTTTAGATTGATTTTGATCACTCATTCTTTGAGGCAGGATTCCCTTTTTACCAATCATTACCATACTACCAATGCATGTTGAACACAAGACAGCTTTTTTTGAAGATACCATGAGCTCTGCATTATCTGCTCTTTGGAGTAGCAGAACATCTGGATTAAGCCTGGTTCATGTTATTGGATCCAGCTCTCAGAATCTCAACACCATAAGTGCTATGGCTTCTGTCAGCTGTATACACAGACACCAGCTACTGCTGTGCAGTCATACTCAAATATAAAACATTCCAATCAGTTATGTCTCTGTATCTTGCTGTTGGGCTGATGAATCACAATTTCCTTATTTAAGCTTTTCAACCATTGCAGTAGATATAACTTGGTAAATTTCTTATGCTCTTTGACAAACATGCACAAGTAAATCAATACAAGTAAATAATACAATAAAACTATTTAATCTTAGTATAAAAACAGCCCAGGATATTCTCTTTTTGTTGTTTGCACCCCTTTTTTCAAAGGTTTAAAAGGTTAAAAAAGGCCTATTTTTTACCAGAGCTAATCAACATCCAAGTATTTTAATCTATTCCATTACAGAACGTTAAGTATTTAAATTGACACACAGCCAATAAAATAATTCCACACCAGTTTTGACAGTTAATGGAATAGGTTTGATAGGCCTGACTTATGCAGCTGCATGGAAGTTAATTGAAAATAAAGACCTTTTTAGTTTGCTTTAATTATTCTTGTAATTCACAGAAGCCTACTTCATGATGAAAAAAACAAACATGTCAGGCTATTTTTTTTCTTTTTTTTTCATCTAGAAAGGAATAAAAATAATGGTATTGTTTTCTAAGGGAGGATAGTCACAGATAGGGTGATAAATTCTGAACTACCGAAAGTGTTTCTCTCATAATAAAATCCCAGTGGGGTGTAGATCACAGACTGCAGTCCCTGCTCTGAATTATTTCCTGTTCCTTTTCTGTTTTCTAAACATTTTTAATTCTTTGCCATATTTTGTATTTCAGCAGGTACATTTACCCCCTCCATCAGCCATTAGTTCCTCTTGCATGTCTTCCCTATTTCCTTGCTGGGACAGAGTTTGCTGTCAATTCTCTGGAGTTTTGGCATGCGGAGAAGGTTAACTTTTAACCTGATATTTCTGTTTACTGTACAGTATGTCATTTTACATATGCCTACAAGTCAACTTTAGGCAGTAGATAACCAAAGAAGGAGAGCTTTATGAAGGGTTAACAAGGAAACAAATATTTGAAAGACTGAGAAACTGCCAGTCATATCTCATTTGTGTGCATTAATCTTTGCCATCATGTTACAAGACATTTTCAGGTAGCCATTGGCCTTATAGATGTCTTCTGATTTTAGAATATTGTATGTAATTGAATAATAGATACAGAGTAGCCTATAGTCTGCCATATATATTGAATCTCTTATCTAGTGTATGTTGTGTCTTTTTGGCACTTTATTGTGGACCTATCGCTGTATAGGTTTAATTCCTAATTACTTGCGTAATGTCATATTTATGTGCGTTCTATGTGAGGTACTGCTGCCTATGGATATAGATATGTACCTCATTCAGGTCATGAAATATGTTCATTTGCCATACAGAGTATAAATATATAAATATTAAGTTTTGAATCATATATTACATGAGAAATGCATTATTTATTTTGAAATGTCATTAATTCTTGAGGCCCTACCTCAGATTTTTGTATTTATGTATACAAATGCAATTTATGTATTATATCTTTGCCAATATTATGATGTGAAAAAATTAGAGTTTATCCTATAATGTATAACTTCTAAAACCATTAAATAAATGTCAATGTTTTAAACGTCGATGCTGCGTTGTTGCTTTTTTCCCCAGACAACACACCATTCGGGGGAGCTTTGCTGTGCAAGGGTAATCATGATAACTGATGACCACAAGAGCACATCTCCCTGGAGCAATCTGATTGTATTCCTTCGCTTATAAAGACCCTAAATTCCTCAGAGAGGATGGGGATAGTGTGGAAGGGGGCGAGTGAACACTTACCCGTGTTGATCTGACCCTTAAGTACCTAGGAAAGGTTGCAGAATAGAGGAGGCTATTTGGCCCAGCAAACTCCCCCCAAAAAGTTTGGGGGAACACGAAATATTAAACTTGCATACAAAGCTTATTCACTGATTGCGTTTGCTTTCGTAAATCTGAAGTGAAATCAAACACCTGCAAAACCCGATCCAATTGTCTAACGCGACAATCATTTTTAATTATTATTGCGATTTTTGCTCTCACACCTTTTGCAGGGAATCTTCCCTTTTTATCACCCTTCGCTACATCTGATCACCGAACTGGGGCTTTCTATTTTATCTGCAGGGGAAGGCTGGGCCATGAAAAAACACAAAGTTAAAAATCGAACGGCAGCCGTTGGCTCCGTAATGAAGAAAGCAAAAGGAGCTGCAATATTCATCTACAGCTGCAGCTCCCGAATCCCCCAGCACAAGCCTTTATGAGGTTTATAGGTCAATTACGACTCAGTAACTAGGATGCTGACGGGTCCCCTGTTTCGCTAAGTTGGACTATTCCAGTCAGCTACATCCAACACCGGTGGAGCTAACACAGTTTTCAAGACGTACACGGAGCAGGTCAAGTTTGGATTTCTGTGGAAACCTGCATCTTTTGGGTATCTTAAAGGAACTGTACATAGTTATACGCAGTGCATACAAATGGATGTTTTCGTGGCGATTTTACCCGTTCTGCTTGCTGTAAAACCAGGTAGGTAATTTGGAAGAACAAAAAAACAATACAGAAGATGTTACTAGGCGGTTTAGAATATTGAAGGCGTGATGTCTAACGGGGATTTGTTCTGAGAAGGAGGAATTTCTTGTTTGCATAGATTTTTTTTTCTTTCGTGTGTGCTATAACCCTGTATCCTTTTTGCGTCTCCCTACTGAAGCTGTGGCGTTTGCCACGCTTCTAGGTCATACATGATTATTTGTTTGTATCTTTAACAAAACTTCAACAGTGTTGCTAGGTCTGAAAAAAAAAGAAACAACCGCAACAATTTAACGAATTAGTGGATATTTCTTCTGCCTCAGCTAGGCGTATATATTAAATTGTCTGTATTAAAACCTCATGGGGAAAGTAAGGTACCTATTGCGTCTTGAAAACACTTCGTGTTTGGGGAGCACTTATTGGGCTAGATTTTGTGTTTTAACATATAAAGGGACGTTACGTTATATTCAACATAAACTGAATTTGAAGAGCGAATTATGTTAATTTTAACGAAACATGAACTGCTAAACATAAGTTGTAATGACGGGAAATTTTAGAAATGTGATTATTTCCTCTGAGCAAAAGTTCGTGCGCAATGAAAGACGCATACATACATTATTTATAGGGAAATGTAATTATTAGCGATTTTTCGATATAGAAATCTTAGATAAATTGTTCGTAGATGCAAACCCCACTGCAGACCTAAAGCACTCATTGTAACATTTCTGTTCCCTATTGACTTTTTTAACAAGTGCGCAAGGGAATAATTTCGCACAACGCAAGCTTTGTAGAACCATAGGACGAATAAATAAATCCCTTTCTAGATACAGGGTATTACCATTTTAGATTTTTTAACACATAATTTATCCATGTGAGATATATGAATGTAGTGTAAAACAGAGAGCAACCACCGTTAATGAAAACCGTTCCTTCCTCCACGGTGTGCTTCCTGTATTGGCTATTTCTGATTAAACACCGCACGTTTCTTCAGTTCTAGGGTTTGGAGTCGACCCTGATATGCAAATTGATATCATCAGTGAGCTGGATTTCGCAAATGCAACTTTTGGAATAACTCAAGTCCCGGGACTGCACAACAACAGCAAAGCGTTCCTATTTAAAGGTAATGGTAGCCTATGTATTTTTATGCATAGAGCACAATACAATAAAATGAAGAAAACGGCTCGTCTTTTATGAGGGGTGGTGATATTTTGTAAATGAGAAAATAAAATACGCCCTCCAGGGGACCAAAGATCGACTTTCCGTTAAAGTTCCAGTATTGTGTAAATCACAGCGAAAATCTGAATTTTGCAGCTCTTGGGAACAGACATTGTACGCAACAAACTGCTTTATTTTCAAACCTTCTTATTATTGAGTAATCAAAGGGTCACATTGGATCAGCTGCGCACAAAAGCAGTGCACTGCACGACAGTATCAGCGTTGATTGTCCCTTTCTCTCATGTGCTTTAAGCTGATGGAATCCTAAAAATTCAGAGCAATAGTGGCAGTGTGATGCCACATAAACTTGAACAGCACCCAGAGAATTTCTTGTTAATGTTTTTTTTTCGTACCGCTGATAGTTGGATTTAATCCAGATTTAGTGTACGACAGAAATTAATTACGGAATTATTGGGAGTATGATTTATGGCGTTAATTTACCTCATAAAACGGCTTTAAACAACGTAATTAAGATATAATTTCTAGCGAACTACCTGAGAGAGTGAGGTTTGCTTCTGCACATTAATCCTGCCATAGAAAAGAAAGTTAGGTTACAGACTAGACAGAAAACTAAGATGGCAAGTTTGTAAATTGTTTTTTAACTCTTTGCAGATACTTCGGAGTATTTTGTTTTTAGCTACGATAGATTTGGTATTTCTCCTTACTGTGATTTAAGATTCATGGAAGGAATATACCAGGCATGCTGTGGGTTATATTTGAGATTAAGGATCCTGTTAGTTCTGCTTTGCTTTGCCCAGCGGTAAGCAGGGGCAGCCAATCTGACTTCTGAAGGTGGTCTTATTTTTGGTGTTCAACCAAGAAAAGTCCCAGGAGTACTGTCTGATAATTACTTCACATTTAATGTGTCCCTTACAGCTGCTGCTTTCTCATTTTCTGCTTCATGTATACTTAAAATGTATGACTGATATGGTAACATCATGAATATTTCATGTAAAATTAGTGCTCATACTCAAGGACTTGTGGGTGGATATTTTTATCCATATATCAGATCAAAAGTGAGAAATATTTGTACTTGTACTGGGGTAATGATGTCTTCAGATTGCTGTGAATTGAAGCCTTGTAATTGGTAGCATTTGCTTTGTATTCTAAGTGAATTAATTATGAAAGATATTTGTCAGAGGAAGAAAATAGCACACAGACGTTTTTTACCCAATAAAAAAATTGAATTCAGGATTTGGATAAATTATTCATTGCAGACATTATTTATGACTTTTTAAATATGTATAGTTTGCTGCTTATTAATAGACGATTACAAGATAGTATGACTGCTGTGTATAGCAAATTAAACAAAACTAGTGATTTAATGTACTGAGAAACCTTTCACTGGGAAGTTATGATGTAGATGAGAGTTTTCAGATCTGTGTTCTTAAGTTGAGGTGCATGACTGCTCAGCAATACTCAGTATTTTCTGTACAGAGCTCAGTTGTCTTCCAATCACATTCAAATTCACATCAGTCATTACACTTTTTTTTCACTCCTTGAATTGATTTTTCACTCTGGTTTATCTGACAACATACTTTGCTGACAGGTGATTCTGTGCTTCATGAATTAAGTTTGCAGCTTAATGTATTTTTTTCTTGCAACTGAAGGTACAGACCATATAAGCATTCCGAGTCTACAAACATTTGTGGGAATAATGGAATTTCCTGAAGTATGGTCATTTTTGAGATTGCAGTGCACTGCTGCACGTCCTTCCTCTATGTGATGGCAAGAGGGGAAAATACAGCAAAATCAATCTTGTCTGACCTTTTGTTATTCTTTGTTCACATTATGCATACCTAAGCACCAGCAGCAAGATGTTGCTTGAAAACTAACAGCATCACAAAGTTACTGGGAGACATATAGAAATATGCTTTTATCCAACATGCTTAAAACTTTCCTTACTGTTAACCATTCCACTGTCCTTCCATTATCGGGAAGAGCCTTAATCCTGGTTATGATAGGAGCAACCCAGAGCCTATCCGGGATGCGTAAAGAGCAAGGTGGGATTGCACACCAATACATCACAGGGTCACATGCACATACGCAAGGCAATTTAGAAATGCCATTTACCTAGTCAGCATGTTTTTGGGAGGTGTGAGGAATTGCAAGTTATTGATTATTTAAATTATATTAAGGAAACTCCTGAAGTTGAGCATTGAAGGGTATTCATATACAGTATTTCTCATAGATTATTTCTAAATAAATCAAATGAACAAACCCTTCTCTTGATAAACTGATGATTTGTCCAACTTTGTAAGTAATATTAAGTGTTGGAGTCTCCTGCCCTAAAGGGTTCAGATTGGAATCGGGGCTGTGCCATTATTGGACTGTGGCAGGGATTCCTGGAGCAGTGCATCGTGAACTGAGTGCCACCAGGGTGAGGCAAGCTGTTGTCATGCGGGTTATTCTAGGCTCGCTTCACAACAGCGAGTTCTCCTGTGGCTTGCCAGCCACCTGTGAGTAGGCTGTGCAGTCTCTGAAAGATGCATCGGCCCTTTAAGTTTGAAAAGAGGTAGGTGACTTGGCAGTTCACGCTACGGAGGATGTGCTTTGTCTTTTCATTTGGCAAAAAAACGATGACAATGCAATCTGCACAGACCGGTGCAGACAGGTGCCTGAGACGGGACTCAAACCCCATACCCTGGAGCTGTGAGACAGCAATACTGAGTATCATGCCATTGTAGTACCCAGTTACAGAATCTATATGTTTCTAAATCCTGCTCTGGTTCCTCTATAGATCTGTTTATTGTGTGCAGTGTAGCTGCAGACCACATATTGTCTTGCAAGAGATACAAAAACGACCAGTTTTAATAGTGTATAGATACACTTGGGGGCATGAATATGTTTCAATTCGTTTTTTTCCCTTTCACTTTAGGAAAGAGAAGAATCTGTTAAATTAGCTTAGAAAAGATGCTTCCTGGACACGGGTGACTGGAATTGCTTTCTTTTTCTTTGACAAGTTGTCAGCCACTTGTTAGTTTTATTCAGATCTGTGCATAATTCTTGAGCCCTCCCCCAATCCTTTTGAAGGAACGACAGCAAAGTGTCGTGATTTGAGTGTAGGTGTTGTCAAGTCAGCCATTCGCCTTGAAAAGAAATTTAAAAAGTAAAAAGATTTGATTAAATAATCTTGTAAAATTTAAAATGTTCCTGATCTGCTAATAATACAATTTTGCATGTTAATATATTTAAATGGTAAGGTTTAATGTTCTATGTTTAGCATAAAATATTGCAATCACAAAACAAAATAATTCATAATTAGAATGCATGCAATAAACCTCTCTAGCTTAATGTGTATTATTTAATAAATATTAAAAAAATAGATATTTGTTGTAACTAACAGCTTAGTGAAGAAAATGCAGCTTGTTTTTTTTTCTCATTTGGACAATATTTACCACCAGTTCCCTGAAGAAATGCTGTGTACTGGGAGCAATAACATGAGTTATAAATAGCACTTGTGAGTGATTAATAAACAGCATAAGTGTATACTGGTACAAAATGGATGATGTTGTGATGTGCAGGAAAATGGTAAAATCTCAGGTACACTTAATAGGAAGGAAACACATTAAAATTCTCATTTGCACAGTCCCTCTGGTACCCATAGGTCTTTCACAAACCTTGTGGGATCCTGTCTGAAGCTCACAACTCTTACACTGTATTGGAGAACATTTCTCCTCCAGTCTTTCACTGCTCTGTACCGACCTAAAATCTCATTAAGCAGAAACATGGCTATTTTGATGGCTTGTTTTGGGGAAAAAAAAACAAATTAAGGTGAGAATAATTTAAGGCTGCTGTATAGCTTGGCTCTGAGATTATTTTCTGAAAGTTTGACCGTTTTTGGAATTCACACGGTGAAGGAGGTTGGCTAACCTCCAGGGGAAATATAAACCCAAAAGGGATAATTTCACTGCTGATAGTGCACCCTGAAAGATTGCTAGAGGCAAATTGATGCAAATAATGCTTCAGTTAAGATTATAATTCCTACTTTCCAGGTCTTCTCTTATTGATTTTCTCATTGTCCTTGTTTTAAAGATACTGTTCAGAATTTCTTTTTACTTTTGGGCTTTGGATTTTAGTGCTTTTGATTAGTTTTGCAGACAGTGAAGCTTAGCCAATACTGGAGACCCCCTCTATGACCCTCATTATTAGCCCTTGTGCTAAGAAAAACCTTATAATAGAGTGTTATGGGATGTATATTTAAGGTGATGCATATTTGTTTCCTGTTATTAAAAAGGCCATTCAACTGCTAGTACAGTATTAATTTAGAGCTTTTACCTAGAGTGTGGGAGTCACATACGCACATTTGTTTTTCGATTTATGTGAGGACTTCCCATTGACTCCTATTCTATTTTGATTTACAGTACTATTCTTGACATGGGGTGAAAGAACATAAGAAAGGGTCCAAATGCAAGGAAACCATTTGGCCCCCTAGCCCATTTGAGGCAGCTAATTGACGATCTTATCCTTTATTTATTAAAAAATCAGTTGCAGCATCCTGGCTTGGCAGCTTGTTCCAGACAATTCTCTCCGTAATACAAGTACCAACTTTGTAATAAAAAATGATTTACATTGCATGGACATCCTCTTCATGAATAATTCGTGCATGATTTACTATCTTTGTGGGTATATATTTTTTTTAAATTGTGTCCTTATATTAATAGGCAAACCTGCGTGCACAGCCATACTAAATCAGGATGGGACAATCCTAAATACTTAAACCAGGATTTGTCTCGTGGATAATTTGTGATGTCGGAGAAATCATCTTAAATGCTGTTGTTTTACTTTGCTGTTTTCAGTAACTGTTTCATGAAGTATCGTGCTATAGTGTTACTGCTCTAGCCAAAAGCACAGTGCTGTGGGGACACATGTGGCACAAATTTTCAAGTGAAAGCCCATGCCAAA